AGTATATGTCTCTACTTCAACTTAATCACAACTTATCAATACTTTTGGCAATAATTTCCATAGATCTCCTAATCAAAATCATTATAAATTGAACTCAGATTATAATTATCTTTCAGTGTCCAAATCTATTGAAAATACTACATTTTCTTTATCTATAATTCATCATAATGAAAACTTGATAAAAAAATTATCTGCCCATTCTACTCTTGCTCCACTTTGAATTCCGTTGTAGAACTTCTACGCAGTGTAGGGTAGGCTGAGCCGGAGAGGGGAAGAATCACCACTCGTGAGAGCGGATGAAACTACAGGCGCTGTGAAGCTGCCCTCGCCCTTCAAAAATGATTTCAAAATTCAAGATGAGGCTTCTCAATTTCACTTCTTTGTCTTTTTAAGGTCTTCCAAAACCTATTTTACACCACGCGGTTGGATGCGCAGCGTTTGGCGGAGTCTAACAATACTACACACAGAACTGTACTGTCCTGTCACAGGTGAGAGATACCTGTAACGCGTAAATTGGTGTAGCAAGGAGGGGAAGAAGTTTTGTCGGCGGCGGGGTTTTATCCGGAGAAATTAAGATACTCGGACTCAGGGCCAACTTTTGAGGTGAGGTTTTATAAGATAACCCTTCAACAAATAACACTAATCAACAAAAATAAGACTTCAACCGCTTCTTCAATTACAACTTTAAAAAACACAGGTACGCTATTGCTTTCTCTCTTCCCTTCTCAACCTAACACAATCACACAAAAAAAAATTGCTTCTGAACTTGATACTAACAACACTAATAATAATCCTTCTAACTTTCGAATAGGCTTTTGATAAAGACTTCACACAAGTAACAGCAAAGAACGCTTTCGGACTTCAACGCACAACTCGAACCAACTCTCGAATGTACACTCTAGAATGATCCACTACAATAGACAAAAAACGGAACAATAACTACACTTGATGTGAATCTTACTCAATCCGTACACAAAATCAAAACACACAAATAATTTGGTGCCCCCTTTTCTTTTCCCTTCAAACAACACCCTTCTTATACCTTTCGATTGTCCAATTTTAGCTCATGACGTGTCCTCTAATTCCCAACCCCAACGTGTTTCCTCTGACCTATCCTTCTCAAATTCGATTTATCATTTATACAATATGTGAGTGTTTTTTTTCCTTATCTTACTTGTTCCTTGCATCGATCATCTTCTAAGACTGATATCTATCTTTCCTTCCCTTTGTTTTCTCATCATAGATTTTTTCCTTTACTCCTCCACTTCCTTATCACACATTAACTCGATCTCTTTCAATCTACCCGCTATGTAAGTACTTTTTTTTTACTTGATCTTCTTTTCCTACTTGTGTTGCTGATCATCTTTCACTTCTTTTCACTTCCATCTCTATTTTACACTCAATCTCTATACCTCCACTAGCTTGATTCTGAACTGTTCGCTTCTCAAAATCAATCCCTTCATCGATACTAACTTCAACATACTCAATCCGATTTCGATCTCCAATCCTGAAACCGATCTAGCTTCAGCTTTTGACCGTGAAATCAATTCTTTGATTATCTTTGTTTTCTTTTATTCTGATATTTGTTTTATTAACTCTTCCTATAGCTTCTTAGCCTCCCTACTCGAATCTCTCCCAATTTTCCATTTTTAATCTATTTTATGTAACTATGATCAATCAACTCTTGTTTTACCAGACTATCTTCTTGATTTAAACTTTCAGAATATCTATGTTGTTTTGAGTTTGTTAGACTCAGTTTCTTAACCAACCTTTAATGAAATAAAATAAAATAAATTCATATTCTCTTTAAAGTTCTGTGTGAGGATTGTGTCTTGCCTGGCACTTGAGGAGACCATAGCGAGTAAACTTGAGCATGAGCAAATATGATTCTTTTTGTGTATAAATAAAGAAGGATGAGGTGGGTTCTGATCACCACACCGTGCTGTGGTGAAAATCTAAACAGGATTGTTTAAATCATCATTGAAAAAATGGATTCAGCCACAGAGTTGAACATAAATATAAATTCTGCTGCATAAGTTCTTACTCCTATGTACTGTGACAAAACACACCTGAACATGTATTGTTTGTTTAGACTATTGTTTGTTTAGACTATCAGTAAATGGTTTAGAAAACTTTGTTTGCCTTACAAATTTTTCTTTTTGTGAGCCTTATGGGACTGAGACATTAAGACACATGATAGTTGAGGGGTTCAATGAAGATTATCTGTTGAAGTATTTACAGTCAAACCTGTGCAAATGCATACCTGTGCAGATGCATAATTGGCCATTTTGCATAAGGCTTGGGTTCCACCAAGCTGGTGTGGGCCAAAATTCAGATTAATGCATGATATAATACTGAATAGCCTTTTGGCAGAAAAATACATATGTTGGTGGTCATAATGCATAAAGCCCCGGGGCCGGCCCCGGGGCTTCCTGCGATCTGGAAGACAAAAATTTGTCAAATGAGCAAGCTGTACATTTGTACATCTCATAGAACTTCCTGAACTCGATTTTTAAGGATCATTGTACACATCTACAATACACGCCGCACTCGTTGCCTCCTTTGAAAGACCCAATACATACAGATAACTTTTTTGGTTTTGTTGAGCGTGGTCTTAATGCATATTTTTATGTACTATGACCATAATGCATAAAGTTATGCATTAACAGAAAACCTGTGCAAATGAATGAACGGTCAAATTGCATAGAAAAACTCGTCCACCCAAATTATGCATTTGCACAGGTTTGACTGTATGGTACTCAAAGCTACATATGTACGCATACATAGTTGTTGTGTATAGTTTTTTGTGGCGGGGAAAAGAACAAAAGAAGTATTTTCAAAGTATTTTCCCCGCCAAAAAAAAGTACAGAGCCCAAAGTATGTACACGTACATACTTGCTTTGAGTACCGCAATTGTCTTTCTTTACGGATCTTGAAGTGGGATACTAATGTTCCCCTAATACTGTCCATTTGGCCAGGGGATATGCATGATAAAGCAATTTGTGTGGGAAGTTTCAGTATCATTGTAGTAGGTAGTTTGGTGCCCAGCTGCCACATAGGTTCAAGCAAGAGCATCAAATCTTAATTGTTTTCTAAATCCAAAAAAAACCTTCCAAATCAAATGATCAGGTTTTCCGTAATTGGTGATCACTCATTTTGAACATTTTTTTCTTCTTCTTGACACTCATGCTAAACAACCTTATAAGATAAAAATACTGATAAACATTAAGATGAGAATCTTTCTTTAAATTTTTTTTCTTCAAAGCTTCTAAACCAAATCAGAACATGTACCATGAGAGGTGAAATGTGAAATGTAAGTGTGAGACATGCAATGAGATGTTGTGGGATCACCCAAATGGTCAAGTGGGGTTCCAAATAGGATTCAAGCTTTACATAGAGGTGTGGTATCCTCTTTTTTCCCTAAACCACTTTCTTTGATTATATGTAGGTAGATAATCATTCATGGTTCATGTAGTGTGATAGGAACTTTATGTAACATTACTGGTTTGAAGTACACTTTCACCAAGTGTAAATAATAATGATACATGTAGTTTCACATTTTGGCACATACCATATTAATGTGGCCGTTGAATGCCTTGCAAGAATAGGCTGAGAAATACGGATGAGTTGTATTCAATCTCTACAGTGGTGTTAAGTTACAGTATGTTATTTTAGAACAATTGGATAAATATAAGAGTTCCCTTGTTGCGGGCGCGCCCGCATGGTCTCTAGTATGATATCATGTTGGAGTCATTTTGAAATCTTTCTGAATCTTTCATGAATCTTTCATGAAGTCGTGGTAATCTCTGGCCTGCCAGAGCCTAGTAGCTGGGGGCTGTGAACGCTTGTTAGCCCCGACTTTCAGCCCGCCTGGTTTTCTCTGGATAATTCCTCAGAGAATTCCTTTTTTGAGGAATGGAAAACGGGAGCTGGTCGGCAGACCAGAGGCAAATATCTTTTATTTTTGGACTTGTGAGATTTGTTGAGAGGCAAAAGAGTTTTATAAGACGAGACTGTTTTGGGCTAGATGCCCCGACAGATCTCACGCTTGAAATTTGCGCTTGGGCGTAAGTCCCTCTCTCGGACGTGCTTTGGCGCGGAGAGAGGGACAGGTTAAGTTTGTATTAGTATTCCACCTAAGAGATGTTTGCCCATATAAGGAGCTCCCACCTCCCAAGGAAATGCATCCACAAGTTACTTCCCACTTATCTTTTTACCCACAAAATGTGAGTGGATCACGCGGTTCACAAAAATCCACAGATACCACAGGTGAAAGATTTAAACCGGAAAAGCTTGTCACCAATTCCCCGCCAACTTGTTCGACTTTTGCGGGCGAAATTGGTCAAGCCTTTGTGATTTGACTGTAAGTAAGGAATGAAAATTGCCCCAGCCAAACTTGATTCCCCTCACAGGCAAAACTTGAAAGCGTGTCTCGTTGGCAGCCCGCTGCGATAGGACCCTGGCTATCCCCTATTGAGGCGTCTGACCAAAATGGTCGGATTTTTGACGTCCTCGAAGCGGATGCATCTGACCAAACACGTCGGATTTTGAGATTTTGACCAAAATGCTTCTGACCAGAAAGGTCGGAAACGGGCCGGGTCAAAACTAGGCATCTGATCAAAAAGGTCGGATTCAAGAAAGTCTGACGGGTCGTTCCATACCGATGTTTAGTATAGTGGCTTACAGTAGGTGCTGGGTTGGACCTAGTATGGGTCGTGCAAAAGTGGTATGACCCTGTTCAAGCCTGCATATAGGAGGAATATTTTTGAGCCGGCTTTACTTTTAGCCACTCGACTATCAAATTTTGTATAGACCAATGCGGCTGAGCCCTGCCAATTATAAACCTAAGTCAACTTATCCACGGATGCCAAATGATTTCCTTACGTAGCCATTTTTTAGCATTTTTTTGAACAAAATTGATTGCGTCCAATAATTTCAAACAGACAGTCTTGAAAAAAAAACACAAAAACAGCAAAATAAACACTTGATACCAACTCATCATGCCTTCATACGAGCAAATCAAGTCAGAGATCTTGCATCTATCGAAAACCTGTGAACATATCCGACCAGCTACAACAGACGATGAGATCTATCGTTGCTTTGTAAATCCACCCAAAATTGATCCTGAAGACATTGAAGAAGGGATGTATTTGTCGGTAAACAAAACGATGGACAGCGTCTTTGGTGCCGAATTGTTAAACAAAAATGTCTTCACCGGGCCCTATGGAGTTGATCTTGTTATAAAATGGTCGGACAAAGCACGAGAGCACAAGACTTGGGATAAAAGTTCCGATCAACTTCTAAAATTAAAACTGGAAAGGATACGCACCCACTTGATTGGTGAGTCTTGTTTGATTCAACACATATGATTTCAATTAACGTCATAACTAATCTTCATGTTTTTGTTTTTGAAAGATTCTGGTGGTTTACTTCCAAACAATAGTCCCATTAGAGCAGGTAAGACGCGAAAAATCTTCTCATTATCATGTAAGCCTGGTAATCTGACTGATATCGATTTGACTAGGCTTGACAGCTTCCAAGAATACTCCCAAAGGAAAGAAGCGACGAGTTGTTTCTCAACCTTCACCTGACATAAATTCCAACAAAAGTGTAAGCAATATCGATAAGCCGGCTGCGAAACGTCAACAACCTGAAGCACCGTCTAGTGTTGTGGTCATCTCTTCCGATGATGATGAAAATCAACATCCTGGCAGCTGTTCTACCGGCATATCAGCAAATAAAACTAGCAACCAGAAGACCTCCAACAAGATCTCCAAGATCTCCAAGATCTCCGATATCCTTCGACTCTGCCCTTTATCCAAAGACGACAAGCCTTGCACCAGATGTCGCGTGGAGACTGCAGTATTGGGCAACAAATACTTTTGGTGCCACTGTAGTAATAAGAGACTTGTTCTGTCGAATGGTCGAGTTGAGACTGCTGCAGAACACTGGAAATCAAGTAAGTAGTTCGCCTCTTTTCTTGTGAATGGTCAGAGAATTTACCACAGTTGTTTGATTTTTCTGACAGAAAGATGTCAAGTTAAGACACGTCATATACAATCCAGTGCCGTTCTCACGTCTTTCTATGCCACGATACCAGCCGAGCCAAAGAAGAAAAAAGGTTATGAAGAAGTACCATGTCCTGGCCTGACCGATGCGACTTGGGAACGACCAAAAGCAACATATTCAATTGCATACTTCATTGAGCATACCTGCACTATCTATCGAGGAAATGATCGAAATGCTATTCGCAAAGAGTTGTTTGGCGAAAAAGCAACCGAGTCCTCACTTACAAAGACTCAAAAGGCACAGCTAATATCCACTCTCGATAGCCGAGCGATTTGGGAAGTGAAGCGACATGGCGAACGAAGCGGTGTGTACTCAAAAAAGTGCCTTCGCACTGGATTACGAAAGAAGAATTCAGATGATGTTCCTTGTGCTGAATGTGAAGAGATCAAAGGAAACCATGCATTGATCAGCGCACTCAACCACAAATATGCCGACGATGACAATCTCAAATTCATCAACGATCATATCATGTCTACCGATGCTTTCCACGCCACTATAAGAAAATACGCAGAATTAAAGATGTTTGATAAGTCACTGGAGAGTTCACGAGATGGAGATTTTGGCGACTTCCTCACTCGTCTTGCTGCCCACGCTAGGAGAGGACTTTTTCAAAATTGTGAGGTTGTACAAGGTCTGATCAAACAGGTATCATTACGAGCGGAGCGAGAGGCAGCCGGAAAGTCGCTTCGAGGATTGCGAATCGATGCCTACCTTGATGATACTCTCACCACTCTTGGTGCCATGAGTCGAAGTGCTTTGGAACTTTTCAATAGCACATTTGCTGGTCGTGGAATTCGCAGTCAACGTGCTATTCAGGCCAAGAATGGGAAGATGGAAGCCGAGATACATCCGGCAAACTTCGAACGCATCGCCAAAACCCTCAAGGAACTTGGTTATGACGGTCCGATAGCCGCAGCATCCGATCAAACTGTTTGTGTAAAAGCGTTGAGACACCATAATGGATGTCTGGTTGGAGCCGAAGGTGGCGATGTCAAATTCAGCAATGCAGATGAGCTGCGTGATTTGATGAAAGAGATAGTCAAGGGTGATAAGCTGTGCTCTGAAGTAAGTCGCACAACATTCTCTTATACATCCAAATTACAAATCTGACATGATTGCTTTACTTGTTAAGATACGAGCTTATACAATACAAGTCCCTTTACCAAACATACCTACGTATGTGGTAGCTTTGATTTCCAGTCGATCGAAAGAATCCGCTGAAAAAATTGCTGAAGAACACTACACCATCATCACACATGCTCTTCGGGCTGGAATCAACATCATGTCAATGGGCGCTGATGGAGCGGCTACTGAAATCTCGGCTCAAGAAAAGCTCAAGAACAAAACTGATCAATACCTGACTTATTCAAAATCAAGCTTGAATGTTTATGTGAAAGTCCCACTCTTTGGGGATCCTCCTCGCCCTGTTGTAACAGTTCAGGATCCAAAACATGCACGAAAGACTGGTGCAAATCAATTACTATCCGGAGCCCGTTTGATTGTGATTGGAATGCATGTCATGACTATTCAACAATTAGCACAGATCCTCCAAATGCCTAATAGTCCTCTTATGGCCAAAGACGTATTCGATTGTGATAAACAGGAAGACGGTCGAGCCTTTCGAACAACCAACTCCCTAACACTGGCTGCCTCGCTTAGGCTACCGGGAAACGAAGGCTTAGCAATTTTTCTCTATGTAATCGGGGAGTTGGTAGACTCTTGGTTGAACAAAAAAATCGGCCACCGCGAAAGGATTCGATCTGCATGGACGGCAGGCTTCTTTCTAAGAAGATGGAAAGCTTATCTACAGAAACGCGAGACCGAAACAAACGGTCTCATGACATTTCATCTTAATTGCATTTCACACGCTAGCTTCAAGATATTTTCTTCACTACCTGAATCCCTCCTTGCTTTGATCATCTCTCACCGACAATACTATCCAGACTACCCACTATGCCCTTGGAAGCACGGAACCGAATCATGTGAACACATCTTCGGATGGATGCGAGTAATCGCTCCTCGTTTCACTGTCCTGGATGCCCGATTCATGATGCCCAAGATACACGCTGTTGTCAAGAGTGTGATGGGTGGGAAGATTAAAATACCACCTTCTGAACACATGCACTCGGGCTATCAATATGCTTGGGGCGACGAGGAGGCTGTTGAAGCAATTGAACTGCTGAAACAGTTTCCAACAAATGCTGAGATTGGTGAAGAGCTCACCATAGCTAATCGGCTTGCAAATAGCCTTGCTCATTTAGCCGGAATGGGACCATTAGAGCCAGAAGACGAAGACCTGCCTGTTCAAGATATCCTCAATGGACTCCCGCCCGATCTTGATGATACCACTCCAGGTACGTCTGTTTCTTTTCTATCTGCGGAAAGTATTACTTACTGTTTCCCTTGATCAGATGTATCAACCTGTGCAACAAAAGATTATCGGGTCAAATACAACCATCAGCCTGGGGACTTTCCCGAAAATGTTACTTTCGCCGAAGCTGCTACCTTGGCAAAGGAACAAAATTCACTCGACATATTACTTGATCAAGTTCCAGACGAGGTTGAAACTGATACAGTTCAAAATGCAGCAATGGTGATTGCAAACTTGCTCAACAGTGATGGTAAGTTTATTGCTCGATACATGATTCCCAGCTTATGGAAACTGACATGAAGATTCAAGAAGAAGCTTATCATGAAGACAGCTCGGCTGCCAGCTGGTCCGATCCAAGCCGCTGGAGATTAGTCGAGGGAGGAAAACTCCTCAGCAAGAATCTCATTGACATCCGCACCCAGCACGATAGTCAGCTCCCGCGGCATAAAGGAAACGAACATACATTGATCAATCCAGATGACTTGCGATTGGATGGCGAGAAAACTTCCAGTGGCGAAATGAATCCGAGCGCCTGTTCAAAGGCAATAGCAGTCTATATGAAGGATTTGGTCAGCACACCTACCGGTGCTGCACGCCGACACTGTTGGAACATCAATGTGAAGCTTAATCTGACCGGTATAACTACAAATAAGTCCATCCATCAGAGTGTTGAATTGCAGCAACTCTTTGATGGCGGTATAATTAGTTCAGAGAACCCTATTGAGCCGGGTAAATTCCTTCTAGCAATTAAAAATAAAGTGAGTTGCATGAGTTCCTTGTGCCGAATATTTTTCATTTCAGCTGCTGACATATCAAATTCCCTGATGAAGAAAATGCACCTATGCCGCACTGTTGTTGTGTACGAGTACATTTCGAAAAAACACGCCTTTGTCACCAGCGCACCGTCGAGGCGCAAATTATCACATGTGGGTGCGCAAGTCTTGCATTACACCTACCCTGTTGCGACTGCCACTACAGAATCGGCCCCATACAGCTGGACCTTCTGTCTCCTCGACGCAGTGGACATCATCTATGTTTTTAAGCCATCGGATGGTTCGAATTTTGCTTCACTTGGTGAGGGGTGTTATTCTGTACCGTCAGTGATACAACGAATGTTCCGAGACATAAAGATGAACGACTTGGTTGGCCGGTACAAAAATGAACGGACTCGTCTCCAGGCTAACGCGCAAGCTGCAGAAGATGAAGAGACATCTTAATGATACTCTGAGGCGCATCTACTCGCCTATTGTCTTTGTTCATAACAATGTGAACCATATATCATATTGGGAATCAAAACCTGCAATATTGTTTTACTTGTTTTTAGATAGAAGCTTGTAGTAAAACCTAACATTTGCCAAAAGAATGATAAACCCAGCTCAAAGTTATGAAAGACTATAAAAAGTGGACTTTACCTGGCCTTTGGTCTTTACCCGGTCCTTGGCTGGTCTTGACCCGGTCTTTGCCTGGTCTTGACCCGGTCCCTACCCGGTCTTTACCCGGTCCCTACCCGGTCTTTACCCGGTCTTTACCCGGTCTTTACCCGGCCCCGGCCCCGGACCGGTCTTTTCAGGGTCTCGAGGCTTCTGACCAAAAAGGTCGGATTTTCATTTGTTTTTAGGAATTTTCCCAGATCTTGGTCAAGGCATCCGACCAAAAAGGTCAGATTTTCATTTTTTTTTTGGGAATTTTCCGCGGAAAGGTCGGATTTTAGATCAGACGCCTCAATAGGGGATAGCCAGGGTCCTGCTGCAATCGAAGCAGCGTGGGATTTGGATAAGTTTATCTGACAGACTGACGTGTCAGTTTGTTGTTATTTTCCCATCCTTATCCAAGTCCCATTCGGCCTTGGGCCTTTGGCGAGGAGGGACTTGTTAAGTTTGGTCAATGGTCCCACACTGCTTCTCGCACGCTTCGAGCGCATCACGCCACATTTTGCTCGCCGAATCCCGATAACATGCTTCAATTGAAATATAGATGAAGTAGGTCGAAATGTACTGGTGGCGATGCTCTCAGAAGTCAGAATGAACAAAGCATGAGGTTGGTTTTGCATAAACTCAACTAAGTCCCTCGCTGAGTCTCGCACGCTTCGAGCGCAGCGAGGGACTTATGACTCCCAAGCACATTTTTGCCTGTGAGGGAAATGAAATTTGGCAGGGAAAAACTTCTCTCCTTATGAAACGTTTTCCCCTATTTGTGAAATTTCTTGGTCCAAAGAATTTTTTTCTTCGCCTACCTGAGCCGCTTCGATCTATCAAAAAAAAATCCGAGGAAATCGAGGAACCCTCCCTCTATGGGCTCCTGAAGTTTCACGTTTGAGGGTAATTTCTGGGACTTTGTCTTGTTTAGAGCATCCGCACTCGTTTGCGGTTGTTAATTTGGTCACGTGCGGTAACAAACACAACATTAAGTAAAAAGTTACTTAACTCAACCAAATTTCGCACTCGTTTGCATTAGCAGCGCTGTAACTTTTATAACTTTACAGATAGTGCATGTACTCCGCACCGGTCGTGCAGTAAGGTAAAGTTTTAATTTTTTGAGTACACATCACCTGCTTTCATGGCCAGTTTTCATGTGATAGAGGCACTGTTCTCTTCTTTGCACTAAGATACTAATACTCCATCTACACATGAAGACCCGATATCATCCTGTTCATCTACTCGATCGATAGATCTTAATTTAAAATTACAAATTTAACATGAGTTTGTTCAGATCTTAATACATGAATTCCAATTAAAAAACAAAGGCTTTACTACATCGAGAAAGCTTTTAATGAGTCTGAATACACATAATGATCTTGTAAAAGATTTAAAGATTTAAAACTAGGAAATAAAAATCCAAACTTCAATTTTTAATTTGTATCACTTGATCCTAAAAGTCCTCCAATGATTGGTCTTTTAATGTTGATTTTCTTAAATATTGACCTCTACATAGCTATATGAATCTAGACATCTTTCAGTTTCATCTGAATGGTTTGGAGTCGAGTTCAAGATGGTTGATTGACTTATTTCAATTGAAGACATCAATCGGTGTCGAACGTTCTCGAGTTGATTCATGCAACTGTAAGGCTTGGAATTCATCGTGTGTGAGTGGTGAAAAGGAGATATTGGTTGTTGACTTTGGTGTTGGAGGTCTGGTTGAGTTTTGTTTTTGGAGTCGAGTTGCCGGGAACAAGTCGTGATGTGTGATACCGCATGCGTTAGCCAATTGGTAAATTTACCGATTCGCTAACGCAAAATGACCGAAAATTAACTACCGCGGGGCTAATTTTTCACCGGTGTGGAAAAGACCCCGCGTTTGCGGTAAATTTAACCTTACCGCACCCGACTTACCGCACGAGTGCGGATGCTCTTAAGCCGTCATATGTAATTGCTACAAGTGGATACAGTCGGAAATTACACCAAAAGCTGGAACTTGAGGAGCCCTTAGAGGAAGGGTTCCTCGGTTTCCTCGGTTTTTTTTTCGATGGTTCAAAGGGCCTCATAGAGGCGAACAGATTATTTCTTTGGCTCAAGGATTTTCACAAATAGATGAAAAAGATTTATAAGGACACCAATTTCCACCAGCCAAAAAGCAATCCCCTCACAGGCGAAAATGTGCTTGGGAGTCATAAGTCCCTCGCTGCGCTCGAAGCGTGCGAGACTCAGCGAGGGACTTAGTTGAGTTTAGGTTTTGCAACATATTTTCAACAGCTACTTGCAGCGTGAGAAGAAGTGAAGGACAGAAAACAAATTACATAAATTAAAATGCAGAATGTACATTCTGTATGTAAAATTAAATCTAATTCAATTTAATTCTTCATGACCATTCAGCAACTCATCCATCCCATTACCATTACCATCACCATCACCATCATCATCATCAAACAACGAACCAAGTTGAAAGAAATAACAAATCATGAAACTATTCATCTAACTAATCATCATCATCAAACTAAATCATAAAATGAGTTAGTACCACTTGAAACACTCAATCCAAACTATCTTGATTGAAACTAACAAATTCTTAACTTGTTATTCAATAGCTTCGTCTTCATCTCAAACACCTTCATTATCACCTATCAAAACTTCTTACTTTGATCTTTATCCTGCTGGTTCATTTCAAACTACTTACAATCATCAACCTTATAAACAACTCAAATTGAAGCCTAAGAAACTAAAACCAATCTTAGTCAACCCTTCATCATCATCATCAACAACAGCAACAACATCACCGCCACCATCATTATCATCACCTCAATCTTCTCAAACACCAACCTCACTTGCTACCAAGATATCTAAATTATCACTCAGAGAAAGAATTCGTGGATCGAAACCACGCTCAGACGATGAACGAACTATCAAGTATTCACATTCAAAAGACAGTCTTGCTCCATCATTCAACAAAACACGTACGAAAATATCGTCACCGCCACCATCATTACCCCTACCACTACCAACATCACCTTCAATATCACAACAAGAACCACTACCAAGGATTCCAAAAATATCAAATATTGTTTTAGTCGTTCCTTCACCTATATCACCATCTACATCGCTACAATCTACATCACTTCAGTCTCCATCAGCCAATGAATTCTCAGCAACAAGATCTCCAACTGCTCATTCCTTCTCATCATCACCACCCACATCACCCCGTCACCGGTCTAGAAAAACTAATCACCAATCCGAGTCAACTCCTGCAAATTCCCCATCACATCCCCTCAATTCACTTGATCAGGCACCGTTCATCTCACCATCTCACCTCTATACTACCATTCGATCTTCAAATCGACTTCCATTCCCAGTCTCAGCTCCGAAACCTGATCACTACCCTTACCTCGAAACCGAATCTTGCGCATCAACCTCTTCCTCACTTGACCTTTTCGCTGGTCCTCGCACCTCTCTACAATACGATACCCGCACAGGCGAAATTCTCTCTGCTGCACATGAAGTCAGTGCAATGGACGCCTTAGTTGATACTCTTCAGGAAACTGCCTTACCTCCTGAATTACGCAACATGCGAAGAGAGAACAAACAACGTTCAAAACTATTGGCTCAACGCGATCAGTTTGAGAAAGCTCAACGTGCGAATCGAAAAAAGACACGCAACCCTGATCAATCACATCAGAATCAAGACTCGCAAGAGCTCAAGCAACGAACGGTTAAATCAGATCAATACAGCATCATACCCACTCCCACTCCCACCCCCAGGGCTCATCGTAACAAACAAACCAAAGAAATCACGAATAAACCGACCCTCAATCTTGCGGTCCGCTCGAGTAGACCTAAAGAGAACGGCTGCGAGATCCCTTTTCCATCATCCCCTAGCTCTGACCCGCATCGTCTATCACCCTCATCCTTCCGTTTGGCTCGTTCATCAAGTCTTCAATCTGTAACATGTGAAGACAATGACCTAACACCAACAGCCATATCTCATTTTTCAAAAGATCAACACCCCTTGTCATCTTCGACTTCCTCTACCACCCTTGCGTCTCAAGCATCAACCTCGCCCACTACCATCGTCCCATCGATGAGTGACAAAGTCCGAATCCCTACCATAAGTGAGATTGTCGCGCGTTACACCGCTAATCCTCCGATACCTCCCTCTGCTATCACTCACCGATCCGCAATCCCACTAAATGGCACCAGAGCTAGTGGTGCTATCCGATCAATAGACGAAATCGTTCGAGAATACTCGCCTATGATCGATCAACCCTCCTCAGAAAACGGACAGCTTGGAATGTCACAGAAATCTGTTCACCATTCAAATATTCCCCTGAGGACGTCTCAACCCCCGAGCCACGACCGAGGAGAATCGTACGAGTCTTCGGACACTGTGTCATCTATCGATTCAATCGCCAAGGAAGCCTTGCAGTGTGTTTCCGTCCAGTCTGCTCGAGACGATGAATCAAACCCACACTCCAAGCATTCCCGTCCCTTTTCAAATCCTGACCCACTCCGACGTTCAAACCAATCTGACTCTTCCAGACCATTTGCGATTCCCCCTTCTACTGATGCAACTCCAAGTGCCAGGCAGCTGAAGAAGTCTGTCCGCGGCGAATGTCCACCTAATCTCGAGAGCCTGTCATTTACTGCTCATGCCGATGAACAAATTGCCAACTATCTCCAATCACCACGCCTCACCACTCTTTTGAGACTTAAAAAACAACCCAATCCTCACATGACTGTCTCATTGGCAGACGTCGGTTCATCTACCGGACACCCCGTCATTGTGTTTCTAGGTTTAGGCTGTGTGAGATATCTAGTCGGTCTTTATGATGAACTGGCGGTCGCACTTGGATTGAGATTGATCTGCATCGATCGATGGGGTCTGGGAAAAACGACCGAGGTACCGGACGCGGATAGAGGCTTCCTCGAGTGGTCCACCGTTGTTGAGGAGGTAGCTGATCAATTGAACGTGGGACAGTTCTCTATCCTTGCTCATTCAGCGGGCGCCCCTTATGCACTAGCCACCACTCTCAGACTCGATCAAAGGGTACGAGGCTCTATTCATCTGTTGGCCCCTTGGGTATCGATGACAGCTGAGAACGGTCTGAATGCGGGTGGTTACAAGTGGCTTAAGTATTTGCCGAACTCGATGATCAAGACAGCCCAGGCCGCTGAATGGAAGATGCAAGGTTGGAGATTGGGTAAACCTCCTACATTAGCTCGAACTCCAGTCGGGTATGACATTCGTGCACCGCTATCCTCAAAGGACGCGTTCTCATCTTTGCATAACGAAGAACAAGGGTCAAATGAAGCGGAGCTAGGCGACAATATGCCAGACCCTCTTCGTCCGTCTATAGAATCACGGCTTAGTGATTGGAGTCGGCTCTCTTCGGATGCCCATTGGGCATACTCATCTACAACGTCATCATCACCTCCGATTGACCTTCAGTCCAATTGGAGCCAAACTCCTACAAATGATCATCCTCACACAAAGGTAGACATATCCTTGAATAGAACTATCTTCAAGAAAAAAACCTCTACACAATCGCTTCATCATCGTCTTCGCGGTTCACCTACTTCTCCAACAACCGTCTCGTCATCACCCAAGGTCAAGGCGATGAAAGGCGCGGCTCCTCTCCTGAATCGTAACAACTCTGCTAGCACAGATCAAGGAGAACCGAAAGTTCGTTCAAGGACGCTCAGTTCCATGAGTGATAAACTAGGATATCGTAATTCGGTAAGTGCTGCTCGATTGATCAAGACACAAAATTGTTCTTGATACTGATAATAGAAATCGCCTATTATCATTTTTCAGAGAGGTTCGTCCAAACCTACCAAGGCTGGACCTCCATCGGCTCGCTCGGCGCCAAAAGCAAACTGGTCAACGTCGTCCACTACAAGTCAAAACCAAAGTGTCAGTTCATATCCTGAATTGGGTTTAAGTCTTTTACGAGCATCTTACTCGGAATCCCTAAAAGGTGGAACTTCAGATTTGATGGCAATTCTTGAAAGAAATTCAAAACCTTGGGGATTTAGTTATAAAGATGTGGAGAGGGGTGTTAAGATCTGGCATGGTGATCGAGATGAAAGAATCAATTTAAGTGCTGCTAAATGGATGGAAAGTGCTATGGGAAACTGTTCGGTGAAAGTAGTAGAGGGTGGTGATCATAGTTTGATGACTAATGTCGAGGTGATGATGGATGTTTTGGAAAGTATTGCATTAGATTGGAAGTGAGTTATTGGAAGGAAAAGTATGTCGGTTGTAGAAGTAGTAATAGGCGAGTAGACTCTAGAAGTTTCACATTGATGGTCTGTTTGGTGTTATGTACAAATTGAGCTAAACTTAATTCTCATTCAATCAACTCTTTCTTCTTTCTCTATCATCATCCAATGTGAAGGTTTATGCATGTGTGTTTAAGGTTGTTGTCGAAACTCTTGTTATCTCCACATCTTCCTTGGGTCGCATCTTTTCTTGTTTTTTAATTTTACTGTGGCATTTACATTCACTCAATCCCTCTCTCTCTCATCGCGTAGAACATATCATTATTTTAATCAATTGTAGTTTTTTATATATTCTTTATAATCTTTGTTAATTGGTTTCCTTGCTGATATTCTGTTGCATTATTCGAACTTTCTATAATCGTTATTTTGATATATACTTAGCCCAGCCTTTTATTAATTAGACCTGGATCTTGAATCAGATCACAAAGTAATCATTATTGGACAGATACTCAAAGTGTGGATAACATTGAGTCTTTACCTACATTGCTCTGCTATAATTGATTCGATGTTGAGATGTTGTGCAAGTCAGCATCGTCTGCAAAGCTCTCTTATGTGTCTGACACGGCAAGATTCAGAAGCAGCAATTATGAAAGAATCAGATTAAACAAGATTTACAACTCTACCACATCCTTATCAAGCTTTCTTTTTCATGTTATCACAGCTATTCTCTGAGGGGCAGAATATGAGAAAGTTTGCATTGGTGGTGTATCATTAGGATATTCTTAAAAAAATCTCATCATGAACATGATTGATCTCTTAAAAGGAGTGAAGTATTGAGGAACCTACAATCTTCTGTTGATACCTCAGATTTTCCAATACAAGGTATCCTTGGAGATATATTCCCTTAACGTGTGTCCAAGGAGTTCATCCAAGGTTTCCTTTGCCCCTAAAGATTGCCTCGGATCATTGACTCAGACATTGTGTCTGAGGCTATTGCCATCTGAGGATACCTCAGATTTTCCTATCCCAGTCATCTTTGTTGGCGGTGCAGCAATTGGAAGGATGCAACTCATGGGAATGATGAAATTCCTCAAACCTCTTGAAAAGATACCAAACAACTCTGTTGAGCGGCTGTGGTGATTAATTTATATCATTAAGCAAGAAAATTCAGAACATTTTTATATCATTGATCAATATCAAGTTTTAGCACAAGACATCTTTGATTACTCATCTTACCATTTAAGTATAAGTATTTAGGTTTTGTAATAATCTGTCATTACATAATTGGTTATCAAGCCCTTACAGTATATACATCAACATCATTGATCATTATCTGTTAAGGGGTAATCAAGAAGGAAATTTGATTAAAGATTTGGAACAGGTTTTCAGGGTATGAAAAGAGGATCTAATGGGTTAATAAGTTTGCATTGGTAATATGGAGGGTCATATTGATTAGTAATAACTTTAATTAAAAGAGTTGATTGCAAAAGAATGAAAGAATAATGGGAAGAAAAACTTACAAAAAGTGGTAAACAGGTGTTTCACGGGTGATTTTCAATATTTAGAGCTGTTATTAGTAATTATAACTGGTATGAAAGATTTCAAGGGTTCTTTTTGGATTTGTTCACCAGAATAGATTGGCTGATTATATTTGAGATGTGAAGAAGAAAATGTGATTTCAAAAGTAAGAAATCACCAGAATGAGCCAATTTTTATTGGTAAAAATTAAATAAATCAAATCTTGTCCAATCAACCCAAGTAAGCTTTCAATCAATGTGTGATGAAAATGTACAACCTGTAACTCAACAATATCAGAGGGGTTGTGAAGAGGGTATGAGAAGTAAATGACAAAACAGTGGTTTTCAAATTTGAAAGCTGGCTTATATGTAATTGAGGAAACCTGGCTGCATCATGGGTTTTGGCTTACACTACCATTTGTAATATGGCTTATTCACATGTCTTTTGGAAACTTAGTGTTATGCATCTTTACAACTTAATTACTTTGTCATTACTCATCAAACATAGGTACTGTCATACATTGATCAGAATCATGAGATCTTGAAAACAGGATTTGGTAATCATAAATTGAAGCACTTTAGTGAAAATTTGTAATCTCAAAATTGATTTTCAGCTCCTCTAGTACCAATGAAAAATCTTGATACATCTTGAGAATAAGTTCTTAACACAAATAACTTATTTGCAGGTTTTACTGAAATGCTGGCAAGATCAAAGTGAGATTAGGAGAGTTCTTAAAATTTGTGAGGAGGATTTTGTTGAGAATAATTGTTTTTCAAGGCTGTTGACCATTAATCAAACTTTGTGATAGATGTTATATACTATCAACACTGCCATAATTACAATACTGGTACTGTATCAATGATACCCACTAAAGTAACTAGTTGACAATACCAGGGAATCCAAGCTCTAGTAGCATACCTGTACCCAAGGCATGATACCCAGTACAGCATTGCAATGACAATACTGTACCACCCATTACCTAGTAGTGTATCTTGTCACAATAACAATCAGATACCAATACTGTATTGTAGTATTGCAACTCCCAGACAATAAACACTAGAGCAGGGGCTGATTGTATACTCAATTCAATACTTGCGGGGCCCATTCTGGTATTGTACCAGGGGCGCAATACAATACCCAATACATTAGGGGTTGGGCGAAAAACCAACCAACCAGTTTTGCACCTTTGAGAAGCAAGTCAAAGGAAGTCAAAGATGGCTGGAAATGACTGTGCAGTTTACACAGACCTGTTGCTCTGCTAGGTCATTCTAAGTCGGTGTTTGGGTCTGAAGACAGGCCTTTTCAACTGAGCTGAGCTCCAAAAGAGCCTAGGTGGTCCCTGGCTCTCCTTTGTGAAAGGTGGAAAGATGTTGTCTATGTGGCTTGAGTGGCACAAATTGCATGGTTTTTTGAATTGTTTGGGCTTTGGAATGATCAAGAACACTGCCCACCAGTCAACTTTTGGTGATTCTTTTGCAAAGCAAAGCAAAAGACAAGTTTTTTTGTCAGCTTTGTCATTGTTCTAGCAATTGTTCCTAAGCATTTGTAAAAAAATGAAGACTTCAGAAACTGGTTGGTTGGTTTTTTGCCCAACCCCTATTATCTCTATACACAATACTTCTGGGAGGGTTGGGCAGTAACATATCTGTGGCTTAGATACTGATACTGACAATACAATACTCACAAAAAAACTATGATACCACTATAATACCAATACTGGTAGAGTGATTGTGGCAGTGTTGATACTATGGAGAGGAGAATCTTTGGGGTTGTTCCCCATCTTTTTTATCTTTCACAACATTATCCATATCATTTGTCATCATAATCATATTTTAATAAGTACCCAGGTGACTTGAATACACCCTTTGTTACAATCATAAAGAGGAATTCACTTTAGTAGTGAAGTTTGTAGACTTAAAGTCTTTTGCAAATAATATCCAAAGGATATTGAGCTACTCTCAATTTTTACCTGACAGGAACAATACTAAAAGTGTTGAGAATGATTACAATCAGGCACTTCCCACTTTTACAACTCATGCTTTTTGTCCTTTGAATCATACTGAGATACTTTTACCTTGTCCTTATCAGTACTCAGTTCATCAGAAGTTTGTTTTTGATTGCCTTGTTTTAGAAGGGCTGCCAATAGACACTTTCTGTCAAGTCTTTTGCTTCCAGATTGTACCCTCCCAGCTCTGTATAACCCTTGTCGGATTATAAGTTTTACACCACATGCCCTACACTCAAAACTGTGATCCCAATCTATATTGATATGATCAATATATTATACTGCGAATATAATGTATTTTTCCAAGGTGAAAAATGATTACATTTATTTCACAAAATGATTAAAAGTGCATTAATTCTGCATTAATTCTGCATTAATTCTGCATTTTTCTGCATTAATTCTGCATTATTAATCATTTTGTGCATTAATGTCAATCATTTTTCACCTTGGAAAAATACATTATTTTTGCAGTGTTACATGCTGTGAGTTATAAGCTCATTGGCTCATGTATTTCCCATACTGTGATGCTGATTGTACACACCCCAAAAACCAGATATACAACACATACAACATAAATCAGCTTGTTCCAGTGGCTGATGACATGATTAAAAAGCTTGAAATATCATTGCCGCCTTGGAGAAACCTGGTCCTGTCTGTCAAAAAATTCTTGACCCTTGGGTAAAATTGGTGTTTTACAAAACCCATTTTGACTCTCTTGCCATTTATGGGAACATGGCGGATTTTTTGATGAAAGCCAATTTCATCTAAGCTTCTCAGACTTAAGAGAGTTTTTCAAATCATGAAACCATGATCATCAAATCACCAGCTCTCACACCCTCTGCCTTGCTTGACAACAATTTTTTTGGGATACCAGCAGACAGTGACAAAGGATTGATCACAAATTAGATCACATGTTACCTCCTTACAAGGAGAACAATATACTTGCATACTGGAAGGGCAGGGTGAAGACTTACCCTGCCTTCTCTGCAATGGCAATGGAATGCCTGGCTATCCCAGCTACCAGCTGCACTTCTGAGCATGTCTTTTCTGATGGTTGTGCTGTCCTCCAGTATTCAAGATCAACACTTAACCCTGCAACTGTTGAGCAAATTTGTTGTGTTCTGTGCCTTGGGTCCAGCTTTCTTAATGGGCTCACTGATGAGAAATCATAATTACAAAAAGGATTTAGTATTAAATTACACTTCTCAGCACCCCTCCCTTGTAAATGAGTCTTGACTTGTTGCACTATCTCCCACCTGCCCCCCTGACTTCATGTGCACCCAAACAGGGAATTGGCTCTTCTCCCAAATCCTGACCCACAATCAAAGTTCTAGTCTGTACCCTGCATCCAGTGCGGGCACCTACAAGAGTTTACAAAGCCAAATCACTTGTATATGGCATGGCAAGATTCATCACAACACTCAGATGAGAAATAAATGCCACTCACAATAGTCAAGAATGAATCCAACAAGCCCAAAAATCTAAGAGTGGAGTGTGCAAGGCTTTCAAGGTTTTAGATCATATTAACAAAGAGGTAAAGTTAAAGGTATCAAAATCCTTGCTCAAAATAAAAGGACACAAAGAGATACTAACAAAAACTACCAATTTATTTCCTTGAATCAATCAATCATTAACAGTTAACAACATTATTCATAAGCAAAACACAATTGAGTGAAAGGATTGGGAGATACATTCAAATGCTATATTTTTACTCCCTTGACAAATCTATTAAACCAAACAACTCTATCAACTTCCTATGAAGCCTTCTCTATGATTATTACAGCAAATGTTTGAGGGGGAAGGGTATATGAAAGCCTCTTTTCGGCCTTGATTGTAAGACTACTTTTTCTTGGTGGTGTTTCTGAATTTTTTGAAGCTCTCAATGTGAATACTGTTGATTTTGAAGCAGCAGTATAGGGGATCTCTACACTGAACTTGTGTTCTGTTTTAGGGCTTATATTCACTAACTACAATATGGAAATCAAGTCAGTCAATTTAATAAGAGTTTAAAGATTGATAAACTTATGATATGTTACCAACCTTTAGAAATATCCTACTATCAGATGAATCCACAGTGGCTGACCAAAATACTTCACCATCTTTTGAGGGCAGGTTGGAAGGAAGATATCTGTCCCCCAAGTGTTCTGCAAACAACTGTTTTTGAAACAGAATTACTTGAACATCCTCTGCTCTACGGTAAAATGAATATGCAAGACATTGACTGACCTGTTGAACATGGTATGAAGGTGTCCTTATGACCCTGAGAGCGCTAAAGAAGTTGAAATATATTGAATTTGTAAGATATCATATACCCAAACCTAATGGCTGTAGCAAAGACTGCAAAAATAGTAGCACTGACTCAAAATCAATGAGGTTTGGGTGCTTTGAACAATAAACAAGATATTGTCAGCACAAACAAAAAGTGGCAATTAGACATGCAAGAAATGACCTACCCATTGTGATGCCTCACGAGTCTGAACGTTACAGTAAGTTGGAGCATAAGCAATACCTATACATTATTTTGATTCACATTGAATTTGAATTGTGACATATGAAAGTGAAAGAAACCAAGGGATAAAGAAATTTTCAAACCTTCAACAATATCTGAATCTTGAAATTTAAAACCAAAACCATGTTTGTTTTCAAATATGAGGTGAGTATTGATAAAAAACATCTAATCTCCAACGCAGAATAAAAGACTCACTTCTTTCAAAACCTGTCATGTATGCAGCTTCGGATAGGGCGCCTTCCAGGGTCGGAGAAATGGGACCTTGCCCTAACTTGGGTCCATTTGCAGCAAACTGTAGGTGTTGATTGAAGTCAATGATTATTCTGTGTTTTTTAGTAGTCTGATATATATCCTAGTCAAACTTACTTCGAGTTGAAATATTTTAGGTTCCTCTCGGGAGTAGGAGTCATATTCTTGGGTTTTCCCAGCTGCGCAACAAGGAAAAAGATGTCACCTTTGTTATCATCAACAAATGGAAATCTATAACCTACAATATCCCTTTGGTTCCCTGTAGGTGTGGATATCCCAGCCTGCTGGTAGCGGAGATAGCTCGGGTTTATGTGGGAGTGTGGTGGCTATAAATTTGAGATGAGGGAATGCTTTCATGAGGGGTGGTACTAGATGTTTCCATCGGTACCCATAACTGCACAGATCCCATCAAAATGGGTGTAGAAAACAAAAATATCTTACAATCAGATAATCTGCTGTGGACTTGCATGGATTTCGGATCTTGAACATACATACGTCTTTTCATCAAAGAAATCCTCATTACCTATCTCAACGTATCGCATCTTGAAAGGAGCCGGATGGCCTAGTTTTGCACGTAAGGCACCTTGTTTTGTTGATTCGGGGCCCTGGATAAACTCAATCTGAGCAGAATATTATCAACTTATTGTTCGTCATCTCGATCAAATTATAGCTCACCATATCTATGGCTTCCTGTATGTATTTATCAATCTCCTTCTCAGGTACTGATTTGAATGGTGACAAACTGAGACCAGCCCTAATGATGTACCGAGGAAGAAAGGTTGAACAGGTTTTGGTCAAGGGTTCTTTGACATCGATGTTTATCTGCGTGTTTAAGGTTGATGAAAAGTGGCTAACCAGACGGATCCAATGAATTCCATCTTCAAGTCTTCGCAGAATTGCAACACTTCGAACAATCCAAAGCCTGAACAGATATGCGAACACTAAATCAGTTTTTTAGAATGGTTTGATTGTGAATCATCTCTCATAACTTACCATCAGTATTTACATACCCCCAGTTCCCTTTCTGTGTATCAAGAAATTGAGTAAGACTTCTATGTCACACAGTAAATATCATAAGTTCATGATCAAACTTACGCGTCCAGGTCGATCAGTCAATGGCCCAATAGTTTGGAACCACAACCAACGATTTTGCGCACTATAACCTTCAATATTATTACTACAAGTTTTGTAAGGTCAAAACTTTATTATCAGGTTGCAAGAAAAAAGGCTCAAAAATTTACCCTCCCCATCGAAAAAAAGATCTCTTGAGTTCCGCTGTGGCCTAAACAAATCGCCAAAAAGAGGTAAGAATATCAGAGGAGTGATCAACTTGGATAAAGTCTTCAAGAAGTAATCGAAGTTCAACTCACTTCAGCCAAATCAACCCTAACACCATTTTTACGATTTTTAAATGTTGGTGGGAAAAGACTAGCCAACGCAATATAAACCACCTCATCTTTTTTTGAAGTAGATTTGAATTTGATGCTGAATACATTGTTAGCACTTTTAGCAGACCTACTAGGTCGAAGTTTGACTTTAAATTTTTGCCATTTTTCATTAAGACAAGGAGTTTTTACACGTTCATCTGCAAAGGCATCCGAAGATTTAGATTTGCTACTTAGATGAATTGACATCTCTGGACCACAGCTGACATCCCCTTTTTTTGACATCCTGGCATAAAATGATGCCGTATAATCCCAGTCTTTGTCAATCTTGATACCTAGAGTTGATTAAAAATCGTCAACGAAGGAATATGTCAGATTATGAGATCAATTCTAGTCGCGCTTGATACTTGAGTGATAGAGAGATGCAAAGTCATAATGAAGAGACAAGCCTACCCCAGTACCCTTCATTGATTAGTTCACCCCTCTCACCAGCTTTAACCGTGATTTCCAAAGCATTCGGTATAGCTTTAGAGAGTGGTAAGGATTTAGATAAATCTACAGCCTTCAATTTGATGCCATTGACGGCAGACCAAGCCTCTAAAGCCCCAGCTTGATTTTTGGTCGGATCTTTCGCTTGAAGAGCTCTGTTCCGTAATAATTCAGCATATAAGCCACCATCACCGGAGTGCTATGTAACCATTGATGAAAAATATCGAAATTGAGAAAACTTGATTAGAAATTGTGATGATATCTCAAGGAGTTGGTCACTGTAGGAACTAGTTGAACTCACATTGATGTCTTCATACATCATGCCATACAATTTCGGAATTTTATGCGAGGGCTTATCTGACAATGTGATTTTGGTCCCGCCGCTCTCATTTCCAATGTCATCGACGACTTGCGGTTGTCCGAGTTGATCAACGCCAGCTATGATAGGAGTTTGCGCTTGAGTAAGATCAGTTAAACCAGTTAAATCGATAGATTGTTCTTCAGACTGTACAACAGGCCAGAACAACAGCACGGAAACAGTCAAACAGTGTCTCCATGATTTAAGCATAATGAGATATTTATGCAGGTTGAAAAAAAATCTCGAATATGATTTATTTCAGAAGATCTAGCAATCACTGGGAGTACGTTAAAATTATTGTATGTTGATGGTCATATGAACGATATACAAATTCAGGCAGTCACTCGTTTGAGCCAACTTAAGTGTCAACTATAATGGTGAAAGCAGGAGATTGAGAGACTGGAATATTCCTTTCGATGTTGATGAAAAGAATTCTGGAGGGAAGCCTCGGTTGATACCTTCGACTTTGACGAGTACATCAACACCGCCATATATGGAAAAGCGTCAAGGCTTCCGAGGCTCTCGGATGTCAGGATTTGTGCTATCAACGAGGCAGTGAGGAACAGCGCGTACTCACCCATTCCTCAGTTAGTGAGCTGATGGGTTTGGAGTTTGTTTCTCGAGAAGTTTATTTCTTCTCGAGAACTCTGTTTGTTTAGAGATCTTATCTCTCGGCTATGCAAGAACACCACCCAGGGTATCCTTTTACCTCGTGGTCAAAGGATACGCATGTGGGGGTAGTGGCGGAGCCCTACCTCCCGCCTTCCTTTGGTTCATCTGAACCAAGGCTGATAGGTAGGTGCTTCACACCATCATCCCGCCCACCCTCCGAGTGTTCCCCGTCTTTTCTTGCCTGTAGCTCTAGGACTCCCAAATCTAGGCGTCTCGGGTCTAGCGCCTAGCCTCCTAGAGCTACCCCTCCACGCTGGAACCGGTCGCCGAGCTCACCTTTCTGAGAAAACTTTATAATCCCTCATTCATCAATACCCCCGAGCTCTCCTTCCCAAAAACTTTGTGAATAGAACCTTAACTTTGCTGTTTTTTTTATACCTGTGTTCTACAGGGATATTCCTTGCAGCGACAACCCTACATGGATTTACAACATTCCAATTTCAATTTCTCGCCTAATGCCAAATCATGCTCTGTGGAGTTTATCTATGTTTTCTATCAAACATATTCCATGTATCTTATCTACGCTCATCTCTGGAATCTATTCTTTTTCAAACCCTTTACCTTTAAATGCCATCGATCGCTCTCAGGAAAGCAATTGTATCCTGTCTTTCACTCTCTGTGTATGCTTTAAAATATCTCAAATATGTCATCGACTTCCAGCAACCTTGCCTTGCTATTAACTTGACTGGCGTTCCCAAGTTGAAGCGTATCAATGCTCCCCCTACTCGGAAAGAGTGGCCGGACCACGTATCCACTCCTGTTTTCCCCCAGGACTCTTCAGCTAATCGTAGAAATCTATTTTTCGACATTGGTCTCACTCCTCCATGACTTGGTACTGCAAACAGTATTTCATCGCGATCTCCTCTCGGGTTCATCATCAAAACCCTTTCCACTGCTGCTACTGGGTCAAGAACATTTGATTGCTGTTGTAGATGTATCTCTTGGACTTCTTTCGCTTTTGCTGTTTTGGCTTTCCTTAGATGAAGTCTCACAAATCGCTTCCCATCTTTTTCTCCGAACTCTACGTGTTGTCTTAGGATTGCTCCTTCTTCCTCAGTCTCCCTTAACAATTCTCCTAACCGTGCCATCCCCCAGAAAGCAATTACCGCTACTGCTCCCATTAACTCATGTTCTGTCGATTTCCCTATAGAATTTTTAAACAACTCGAACAAGTTCCTAATCATCACCGGTTTTTTCTTTGTCACCAGCTCTACTTCTTCTTCATTTCTTTTTGTAGCCTGTAGTAGCGTGTTCACTATTTCTCTATCTGCCGTTGGTCTAGACGTATGCCGCACTATGTGCCATGCCCTAATACCATCTAAGTACTTTTTAATCGTAACTGCCGATATGAACCTCTCTGGACCATTTAATTCAGTCACTTTTGATCTCCCCGCCCATGTTATGAACTCATAAATTTCGTCGTCCGTTATAATCTGTTTTTCATCAAAACCTCCTGCCGTTTTCTCTTTAAATTCTATGAACTTCGACATCCCACTGGAATAACCTGATAGAGTCTTTTCTGCCCAACCGCTTGTCGCTACATGTCTTCCTGCTACTGAAGCGTTATTTCTGGCAATTTCAAAATGTTTCGGTAATCTCCTCATGGTGTTTCTCTCCGACATGTTCGTCTTTCCTTTGCAGTTCAATTCTGTGGTTGACTAACCTTTTTGGTTTTATGATGGTCTTTTGTAGTGTAAACTCTGTCTTTTGTCTCTTCAATCTCACTTGGTCTTTAAATACACGACCGAAACCTTCTGCTTAGAAAAAGTTTCACCATTCATTTCATTCTTGTACAATGAAGGGGGGTCAGATCGTCTGGGATCATTATCTTTACCTCATCCCCCGCTTGTTTCAAAGAACGAAACCCTCTAGATAACTTATCTGCTGCGTTATCTTCCGATCGTACCCGCTTTTGCCTCAAACTGCAGTTTGACATCATCAACTCGTTCTGGATTTTCTTCCATTCTTGGTTTACCCACCGGTTTTTGGACTTCCCATTCCTTACTGCACCCTCTGTCACGACATTGTCTGTAAGTACCAGCAGTTCTAGTCCTCCTACATCCATTAGAGACTTCACTAATATCAACCCCAGTCGCACCGCAGCTGTCTCAGCCCATGCAATCTCTTGTTTCGTTCCATCTGCTTGGACTTCATTCCAACCCGATCTGAGCCTGAATCTAGCCCATCTTTTCCCCACAATGACTCCAATACCGTACGAGGACGACGCATTGCCTACCCAACCGATATTCTTCACCTCTCTCTTTGGTACCAATCTTCTCGGGTTTGCTCTCTCCAGCGTTTCCTTCCAAATCTCCAGGTCCTCCATCATTTCTTCTGGAATCTTCCTATTTGCCCATTTATGGCGCCACTCCGCCATCCATCTATACGTTGCCATGCAGTAACATCTCAATTGAGGGTAAACCAAAGTCATATGATTCAGTCGTCCCGACAATTTCTCTGTTTCCTTTAGGTTTGCTTCTCCTTTCATCATAAATTCCGAGATCTGTGATATCCGCTTCTTCAACTTCTCCTCTGGTAGTCTTACAGTCCTATCGTCCCCGTTCCATACGAAACCTAAATACTTTTGCTCGTTGCTGAACTCCTTCCACTTAGTTGGGTTTGTTACTACTCCCATCCTTTCGCTCATCTTCACGACGTCTATCATCTTTACTTCATTTTTATCTTCTTCCCTCTTCACGAACAGGGTGTCGTCTACCCATCTGAACGCCTCTAGGAATCCGAACTTCGTCTTCATTATCAATTTCCACACGTCTGCTACCTGTCCGAATGAACTGCACCCCGCTACTCCACCAAATGTTATCCTTGTGTCTAACAATATCAACCCATCAAAGGTTTTTACCATCAAGAACGGCCATTGACTCGGTGCTGTCGGTATTTGCCTATAGGCCTTCGCCCAATCGAAGACGCCTAGTATTAATCTCCCTTCTGTCGTCGTAAAAAGGTAAGCTACTTTCTCGAAATCATCCCAAGTTGTGATGAAATCATCCTTGTCTACAGTCGCATTCACTGATTGTATCTTGGAATCGTTCCTTGGGTATGAAAGATCGTTTATTGTTCTCAGTGATCCGTCTCCGTTTATAACTGCCCCCATTGGATTTGTCCGGAAAAACCCAACTTTCTCGTATACTTCGTCTTTGGAAAAAGGTCCGAACATTCGCTTCGCGGATATCTCCTTCTCAAAATTTTCCTCAATCTCATCTTTTGCTGCGATCGACGACGAGTGATTATCAGGACAAAAATATCGCATCCCTTGGATCGACACTTCTGGAATCCCAATCTAAATCCTTCTAGGATCTTCTCATTTTCCTGTAACTTCCCTATCTTTTTGAGTTCTTCCTCCCAAATTTTTAAGTTCATCTCGCATTTCACTGATGTTGGCCACCTCCTGTTAGTCACTTTCAGTCCATTCCAAACACGGGCTCCTCCGAACTCTACTTCTTGATCTATCTCACGTGTTTTCTCATGGAGCTCTACGCTCATTCTGCAATCAAACCATCATTCATGGTCAGATCACATCTCTCAACTCACAAAGGCGATCTCTCAGTCTCAATTCTGACATAGCGAGTATTACTCGATTCTTTTATTTCATTCTCATATATAGTGTTTGTCTTACAAACTCACTGATATCGACCTTTTCCCGGTCTACCTCCTTTATTCAAATTTCCGCCTCTATCTCGGCTGCAACTACGGCTTCGAGGACGTTTCTCTCTCTCTTGACGATAATCATAGCTCTTCCCATAGCTCTTCCCGTAACGCTCTTGTCCTCGGTAGTCTTGTTGATTCGTATAATTGTATTTATACTGTTCTCTTTCAAACGGTTTTTGGTTCTTCCAAATTGCAGCAGGAATCCACTTCCTCTTCGGTTTCCTAAATGGATCACTTCCACTGAACTCTGGATTGATCGTTGTTGTTGATGTTGACGCGAAAGGTGTTGATTGTTTCTTGGGCAAACCCGTTTCTGGGTTCATGTTTTCTCTTGGACCTCCTACCGCGTATGGATTCGTCTGGTAAGCTCGTTCCCCAAAATTCTCACAAATTTGTTTCACTTCGTCTAAGATCGGGGTTTGAAGTTCGCTGATGTTGCAAATCTCATTATTCACCGTAGTCCTCATTACACCTTGTCGTATCTTCCTACAGTACCGAAGTGCAACCATCCATCCTATGCTCTCTCTTAATTCGCTCACAATCAACTTATGTGCTTCAAAACGTTTTGCTTGCGTCTCCCATCCTGCATCTGCAACATATCTTATGAATAAGGACATACAATCCAACCATTGCTCGTACTGGATAGTCAGTTCATCGATTGGGGGATCAGTCGTGTAAAGTTGTTGATTTCCTTTTAATATCTTCGCTTCGGAGGGCGCTTCTTTCCCACTTCTTGCTGACTGATCTGCTAATAGCCAGTGTTTGTTAAAAACAGTTAAAGGAATGAAAGCTTTGAATGTCTTAAATAATAATCCAGAACTGGTCCTAAGGCTGTCAACACTTTCCCCATTTTATCCGACGTATTCTTCAAGATCAATCTACCGTTTTTGATAACATCTCCATTAGCCAACTCCATCCTTCCTTTTCCTGAGTCCATCATCTTTTTCGCCTTTTCCGCTTCAGACAGTTCTACCTCTTTTGTCGCCTGTTCTAGTCCCGCTTGAATTGCCATTCTCGGTATGTTTTGGGTCTCTCTAACCCTTCTACTCAATTCTGAATCGACGTCTGATAGATTCTCTTGTATCAAAAGATGAGGACTTCTTTCTTTCGGTTGATTCATCTTGTAGCGCCCCTCTTGATTTTGTTGATGGGACGATCTAGGTACATTGCGTCGTTGGTTGTCTAAACGATTCTCATGTATCTCGTCTCGTGGAGTCTCTTCTTGGCCTGTCCTTCTAAGTCTCACCTGGCGGGATGACTCTTGTAGAGGTGTAGGTTGACGGCTAGAGGCGACTTTAGTCAACTCCATCGCTTTCGCTAACAGAGCTGCACCTTGATTAAACTTTCCTGTCGAGTATAGGAAATTTATCTCGGCTTGAAGTGCCATCAATTCATCGCCTTCGTCTATTTTAGAACGAATCAATCAACCAAAAAACTTGTAAGTGTCTCTTCTTCTCAACTTCAGGTACTTAAACTCTTTTCGTTTGCTCATCCTGGATTTCACGATCTACAGCCACATCTCTTTCTGAGAAAACCGTCCAAGATCTTCAAAATCTACAGCAACATCTCTTCTCGAGAAACTGTTCACAGCCACATCTCTTTCCGAGAAACTGTCTAACATCCACAGCAACATCTCTTCCCGAGAAACTGTCTACAGCCACATCTCTTTTTGAGAAACTGTCCTACAGCAACATCTCTTCTGAGAAACTGTAATTTCCTGCCTCAAAGGCCGCCCTATGGGCCACAGCTCCATCTCTATATTGCTATAGAGAAACTGCCCTCTTCTAGGAGTGTCGTATGAATATTGAACGTTTGAATTGATGTAACTGATTCTCACCTATTGGATCTGGTCCATTCATAATTGATTCCTCTTCATCTTCGGATGCATAAGGTGAGTTTTGCTTCTTCTTCCCTTTTGAGATCGGAGGACGCCATGACTCATCATCATCTTCGTCTTCAACCTCCCCCATAGTTCCGTCATCTTTAATGAGCTTGATAATCGGTGCTCCGTCTATGTCTTCACCTCTTCTTTCTTGATAATCTTCTTTTCTTCCTTCTATCTCTTGTTCTTGATTTCTTCCTTCTGAGTTTTGTTTCTCTAGTAAACTTAACAAACCTCCACTTCCACTAGTTGTATTACCACTACTTCTATTCTTTTCTATCCCGTTTCCTTCTGTCAATTCTCTTCCCTCTATATTTCCGGCTTCTTGACCTTCTTGTTGTTCTAGCCTTGCCGATGCCGCTCTTGTAACACGTTGTATACTCTCTTCAGCTCTACCAATTCTTGATAATAATGAGTTATCCATTTCCTGATTGAAACAAATAAAAAATCTTTTAAACGTTGGTTTATTTTAAACTTAGAGATTTGAGCTGAAAATGCTGAGTATCTGAGAGTCGGTTTTAGAGGTAAGTTTGAAGATCTCGATTCCGAGGTGTGGGAACTCTTCCACCTTCTTACCTCCGGGGCCGGCCCGACTCATCAGTCAAATCACTAAGTCCCCATGGGCTTAGTAACCAACTCGTGCCTCGCTGGTTCCCTCAAAGCTATCACACCTGAATCTATCGGTCTTCATTCCGGCCGAAGGCAACCACGTCAACCTCGCTCACACAAGCGATTGTCGCAATGTACATACGCTCGGTATGGCGCGAGTTCGCCATCTTTGGTTTGATTCTGTTGTGTTGAGTAAAGTTGGCTCTTCAGCAGCAGCGCGCGTTAGCTGAAGAATATATGATGTATAATGTATTTGATTCGATACATATATCATGTCGTTAAGTGAGTCATGACTGAACTACAACGATGATTTGTTCAATTTTGATTGGCTTCAAATCTATTCTATCTACTCAATGTGCATACAACTACGAATCTGGAAGGAAGGGACAAAAAAGGTCGATAGTGCGGTAGGGTGTAAGGCTTATATTGTGATTTTTGCCGGTAATGTCTATCTAAGGTTTCGTTCTTGGCATGTCTGAGCCACGCTCACTTTGATTGTTCATCTTTCACTTATAAAATCCGCCAAAATTGAAAAAAAACGTATTATTAGAGAGAGTACATAGGCCCGCCCTACAAGATTCAATCTTCAGAAGTTAGGACGTTGCCCGATTGTTTGCATTGGTTTTGGAACCTGGTCACCGAACGCCCACGTCTTGATCAGTTGATGAGCAATCGCCGTCTACGAACAGAAGGCAAAAAGCATGATTCTTGTCAGTTTTGTATAATGAAGCTACCAACACAATCTGAACGTGAAGAGCGGAAACTCAACCGGTGGTGGAATACGCAATTTGATGGTGGTGGGCTTTTTGGACGGCGTGTCAGAAGTAGCGTTGCCTTCATCCATTTGCATTATTTCTGCTTCTGTCAAAGTTATCACCTCTCTAGTTTCCACTGCCTTCCGTACGATTGAACGGGGGAAAAAGCGAGCATCTGTGGAAACAAAGAAGAGTAAACGACTGGCTAGTTGTATGTTGAGTTGTTCTGTCCTGACCTTCCAGTTCCTTGTCAAGATCTGTTCTGATATTCGGATTCGCCTCAGCCTCGCCAAACACGCCGATCATTAAACTGCCTTTTGGAGTTTAGGGGTCGATAAATCAAATGTTTTCATTTCTAGGTTCACCTTCCTTAGCAGAAAGAATCTTCACCTGGAAATGGCCAGGGCTGTGTAGAGTCTAACACAAGCAAGAACCAACGCCCAATGAGTTCAAATATGAAGATAGTAAGCCAAAAACACTTGATGCATTTACTGACGATAGTTTACTGGGCCAACTTTGACCCCAGCCTCTTCCCAGGCTTCGCGACGCACCGAGTCTTCGAGAGATTCGCCAGGCTCAATAAAGCCGGCAAGACATCTGGAAATGAAACACGTAAAAAACTTTGCACGATCAGTGATTGTGTCTGTGATCTGGTTAGCTTTCACTTACGAGTAAAAGCCTTCTGGCCAGATTTTCTTCCGACCGAGCAAGATAGCGTCATTTGTGCTGTTCGTGATAGCCATTATACAGACTGGGTCAGACCGAGCTGATGATTTTTGTATGTATGTTCGTGTTTATCAGTCTCGGAAGCATGATTTGCTTAGTAGCATCATGAGCTCACGATAGCTGTGATCAAGGAAAATAGAAAGTATGATAAATGATAAGCCATATCATTCAGCGTGAAGAAATATGAAGACTGGACTGACCAAAAGTTTTGAACCCCACCCTTCGTGGTAAGACATTGAGCTCTGATATGAAGGTCTGTAGCATTCGGATCTTGATGACCATCAGATGGCCTTTTAACATCAGGGGTACAGGCTAGCTTCCATCCAACCCATTGAGAATGGGTAGGGCGACCGCAAGCGCTACAGAAACGATTACGGATATTCCAGTCAATCAAAGACCGTGATTGTGCCGCCATTGACGCATCTGAAATTCCGAGTAAAGCAGTGCGGAGATCCATGAACCTCAAGCCTTGTGCGTTCTCGACTCCTGAAGAATCTTGTTCTTTTTGCCATATCTGAGTGATTAGAGCCTCGTCTGCTAGTGATGGCACTTCAGTCACATCGATTGCCCACATGGGTGAGCCAATAGTATGCTCTTCAAAGGCTTGATCCACATCTTGGGCACTGTCTTTAGCAGGCTCCAATGGAAGTGTGACACCTTCGGTTGTTGACTCGTCGGTACCTAAAAAGATGATTGTTGGATATCGTGTAAGAGGCAGGTGTTCGGTATCGCGAGTACGGTCAACAAGCTGTTGAGGCCACATGACACCCTTTTCACCAATTATTTGAGTCGCTGTGACTGGTATTCCTACAGCCGATCCACCCAGAGCAGCTGAGAGAGTGTTCCAAGATATCTTGACCAGCGAATGAATCTGATCTGCCCTGCTTATAAAGGGGTTTGGCATGTCGACAGAAGCGTTCGAGGATGGTGTAGTATTGACGAGTGGTCTTAAGGCGTTGAAAAGGATGAAGCGGGCTTTCGGCGAGACGAGGGCGGCTCTGAGGAACGCTGGAGATTCTCTCATCCATGATAATCGGTTTGTGAAGCCACCCGAATAATAGTTTCTAGCTGCAAGATCCATCGTTGAAGTCCGAGTTGGTTTCAAGATTGTGTAAAATGATGGGGCGAGGGCACCCCTTCAAGTTCCAGAAGGCCAAATGATAAACCCCATTTATGACCTCGCTCTGAGTCTCCATATCCACCAAATTTTCACCAAAATTAGTAATTAAAACTCGCTGCTTCTCTCCTATCTCAAACGGTGCATGAACCCTCTACTTCATCGTTGACAATCCCATCAGAGCTTGAAAAATATGAGCAAGTCTAACTTCGTGATCCTGCATTCCAATGATGCATATTTGAAAATGACCAGAAGCCCATATCACTACAACAGCTTTCATGACACTATGCTGCTTGTCAGTATTATAGGGTCTTTATCTTTACCTGACCCAAAGAACAACCCTATCAAGGATGAAGGGCGTGCTTGCAGTGATCCTGTTTCCTACTGTTTCAGCTGATAGCGTGGGTGAAGGTGATCAAGTTTTTCGATTTTTCAAATTGAAACAGCAATTCCTCAGCAATCCTTGAAATCTACGTATAAGCATATTCCATTAACCTTAAGCCATACCCGAAAGCCATATCATTGGTTTTGATCATTTCAAAAATTTCGAAATACAGGCTGAGCTGAATCCAAAAAAAAATCAACTCCGACTAAATCTCTTTCATACCCGATATCAACCGGAACGACATTCGAACCTAAAAAGGATGAAGATTTTAATTGTCGGTTCCGGAGGTCGAGAGCACGCTCTTGCCGTTGCATTAGCCAAATCAAAATCAGTCACGAAAGTATTCATTGCACCCGGTAAGTAGCTGCAATTTGATTAAAATCTCATATCTTTTCATATCCTCCAAAATCAGTTTTCTACAATCCAGGCTGACTCGAATATACGTGGTACCTATATCAGGAAACGGCGGTACTGATACCCACGAAAAATGCGAGAATGTAAATATCTCACCGAGCGACTTTGGACGTCTTGTAAAATTTGGATGTGATGAAAATGTATGCATTTCAATTTGAGAGTAGATTGACAGTCATTAAAGTTTGGTTTAATTGATCATTTAAATTCTATACTATCTATGAATTTCCTTCGCTTTGTCAGATCGATATGGTAATTCCAGGTCCAGAGCAAGTTTTAGTAGATGGGATTGAAGGATCTTTCCGCAAAGTCGGAATCCCATGTTTTGGTCCAACCACCAATGCTGCTCGAATGGAAGGCTCGAAAACTTTTTCGAAAGATTTCATGGCCAAACATTCCATCCCAACTGCACGATATTCAAATTTTTCAAATTTCGATCAAGCAAAGGCTCACCTTGATAAAGTTGACTATAAGGTTGTCATTAAAGCTAGTGGACTTGCAGCTGGCAAAGGTGTCATCATTCCTGAAAGTCGAGAAGAGGCTCTTAAAGCTTTACAAGATATCATGATCAATAAAGATTTTGGCGTCTCTGGAGATGAGGTGGTGATTGAAGAATTTCTCGAGGGTCAAGAGATTAGTTTGTTGGCTATCAGTGATGGATATACAGTCGTTGCATTACCTAGTGCTCAAGATCATAAGCGAATCGGGGAAGGTGATATGGGTCTCAACACGGGTGGCATGGGCGCATACGCACCAACACCTGTTGGTACTCCAGACCTCATCGCAGAGTGTATGAAAACAGTCATTCGACCCACAATCGCTGGAATGCGTCGGGATGGTAAGCACTCGTGAAGCAACTCAAAACAGTCTAATGCGTCTTTGACTGATCCCTCTGGACTCCTAGGCATTCCCTTTGTCGGATGTCTCTTTACAGGCTTCATGATTACGTCTGAGGGTCCCAAGGTATTAGAATATAACGTACGATTCGGCGATCCGGAGACACAGACTGTTCTCAGCTTGCTATCTAATGATTGTGATCTCGCTGAGATTTTCATGGTATGTGATGCATCTTATCAAAATCGGGACTTTCCAATGAGACTGCTCATCAATTCAATTGTAGGCTTGCTGTGAACGCCGCTTGGATGCCGTACCGTTACATTTCAAATCCCTATTTTCAGTCACCGTCGTTCTCGCCTCGCCTGGTTATCCCAACTCTTATCCGAAAGGATTACCGATCACCATTAACTCTCAGTTACTACCCAAAGACTCTTTCATCTACCATGCAGGTACTGCCGTCGACAATCAAGGTCAGCTATGTACAGCGGGTGGCCGAGTATTGGCTGTGAACGGCGTTGGTGAATCGATCAAGGCTGCTGCTCAAGTCGCATATGAAGCTGTTGATTGTGTAAAATTCGAGGGTATGACCTATCGTAAAGACATTGCGCACCGGTATGCAACTCTCTTTAATTTTTTCCAGTCTCTTTTCACATATCTGAGCGAGTGGTCTTTTTTACGGAGCAGTGCATTGAACGCAACATCCTCCGGCCCCAAGCAGCCACAAACGGGTCTCACTTACGAGAGTGCGGGAGTGTCTATAGACTCGGGCAATCAATTAGTCTCGCGCATCAAACCCCTTGTCAAGACCACCGCCCGATTGGGATGTGATTCGGTTATTGGAGGCTTTGGCGGATTGTTTGACCTCAAAAGTGTTGGGTACGAAGATCCTGTCATCGTCAGTGGTACCGACGGTGTGGGTACGAAGCTCATTGTGGCACAGCAAGTTGGAAAACACGACACTGTTGGTGTGCTTCTTCAACCTTTCTTTGACTACTCTCTTCATATGTCACGTTTTTCCGCGTCATCAGCTTCAAGAGTTCAATTCACTCATTCATGATTTTGTCCCTCGCATAACTGAACACAGGTGTGGATCTAGTGGCAATGAGTGTAAACGACCTGCTAGTTCAGGGCGCAGAGCCCCTCTTTTTCCTGGATTATTTTGCATGTAATCATTTGAATGTCGATGTGGCAGTTGACGTGGTCAAGGGGATTGCCGATGGATGTAAGACATCCGGCTGTGCATTGATCGGAGGCGAAACAGCTGAAATGCCTGGACTATATCGAGAAGGTGAGTGCGAGCATCCCATTGAAGTGCATCTTGCTTAGATCTTGTACTAACCTGGATGATCCACATCAAATGAATAGACGATTATGACCTAGCAGGTTTTGCTGTAGGTGTGGTCGAGAGATCAAAGATATTACCTCGAATGCAAGACATCAAGTCTGGAGACGTTTTACTCGGACTGACATCAAGCGGTGTCCACTCAAATGGATTTTCACTCGTACGAAAAGTTGTTGAACGATCTGGTCTCAACTTAAATTCAACCTGTCCTTGGGCACCTACCCAAACACTCGGACACGTCTTTCTACAGCCTACTCAAATTTATGTAAAACAATTACTTCCCGTTCTCAAATCGGGTAAGAATCTCATCAAAGGAATGTGCCATATCACGGGAGGTGGCTTCATCGAAAATTTGCCTCGAGTACTACCTGACAAATTGGGATGTGAGGTAGATGTAAGATCATACCCTCTACCCGATTGCTTTCAATGGCTAATGAAGCAAGGGAATATCGATCCACTCGAGATGTGTCGAACATTCAATTGTGGAATTGGAATGGTGTTGATTGTAGCAAAGGATGATGTGGCAGAACTAAACACAATCCTGAAAGAGTCAAAACAGCAAGGTGAGGCTGATGTACATGTAATTGGTAGCGTAAATTTCACTGCAGGAGTAAAGATGGTGGGATTGGAGAGCTGGTCTTGATGGTATTGGCAATTATCTCAACTTGGAAACTTTAGCATTTTACACACTCCCTTGTTTTCTTTATCTTGTCAATATGTTCATGAGGATCTGTATGCGTTTTCACAAAATCTATCTTGGGTGTTTGGCTCCTTCTTTAGAGCCTTGTAAGCACCTGCCCCTCTCTGCTCTGCGTTAGATATCCATGTGATCCTCGGTTTAGCTTCCAGGAAGTGTGTGTACAGACCCCGTCAGCGGACGTGGTGGCTGCTGCTTGACAAACTTCAGGTTCAATGGTCACCTTGAGCAGCTGAACTTTGTATATGTGCAATTCAAATCGTCTCTATATATTCGGATAGGAATTTGCTCATCTTTCAGATTGCATTTGTCAAGTCCTCCAAGTTCGATGCCATATCAAGAAGGCTTTTTGTTCAGGTAATTCACCAGTTGGTATCATAAATGAGATTCATGATTCCGCCAAACTTGATGGACATCAAGCTTCCAAGCTTGATTGAAATGAAAGATACCTTGCAAACCAGTAAAAGAAACAATTCAGCACCAAATAAATCTGAGAAAAGAGGCCTCTTGACAAGAACAAAATTGATGTCATCTAAGCTGATGTTTAGTCAAAAGTATAGGAGTGAAATGTAATAAGGCTAATCAAGCTACAACATCTAGGAATAACTAATTGTTTTGTTTCAAGACTCTGAAGAACTCAAGACTTTTGGCCTCTGGTGACTCTAATGGGTATTCTGCTTGATAATTTTCTATGTGAGAGAGAGCTTTGGTGAAAAATTGATAGGTGTTGTAATTAGTAGTATCAGAAACCGCATCCTGATAATACTTCCTGAAGAACCCAGTTGAGTCTTTTCCCTCCAAATCCGATAGAACATGAACAAATTCAGTATCAAGTCCTTTAGGCATATGTGCAAAGGCTTGACTTTGTATCAAAGCCAAAGAGTCTTTAGCCAAATCTACAATATTCACATCATAACCACCTCCTTCGACTCTAGTCCATCGAGTCTCGAACCAAGTTTGAGAAAGTCTTTCAAGGAAATCTGAATATTGTTGTAAGAAGAAAGGTGTTATATCACCTGGTTTACTACTAGACTTACTGTGAGCTTTGAGCATTCCATTCAATTTCTTTGTCGTGGTTTGTATTTTTTCGTATTCGTCGATCTCTGTCAAAGGAAAGAAATAGAATAAGTTTGGTGATGTACGTTCACTTCACAGATATATCACACTGAAGTCACAGCTACACTTATTTGACGGAGTGATGGTGAAAATGTTGCTTGTTGAGACCTCGGCTTACCATTTCTCATATCAACCAGGAAATTTAATTGTTTTTCCACAAAGACCCTCTCATCACTGCTTTCGAGACTCATAGCCTTAATCTTGAGTAATTCTAGATACTTCAAGAGGCTTCCGTCTGGTGAATCTTTGAGTTCTGAGCGTGCCAGGTGCCAGGCCAAATAATTAGATGATATAAGGCTGCTGAGGATTTCTATTGAAGCTTGTTCTTCGGGTCCTAGTGTTGGTGACCTGCCTGAAAGCTTTTTAAGATTTTCCAGTGCAGAATGTACCGCATTCGATATTCTGTCTTCAGAATTTTCTGTATTGTCTTGTGATAAATCATCCCCATGGGTTTTGCTGGCTTGTGCGTGTTTCTCCTTTGCTGGTATTTCTAGGAGGTCTTCTCTATTGGATTTGTCGTCAAGCTTCATAGCAAGTCTATAGTCTGGCTTTTCTGTATTGATCATATCATCGACCTTCAAGTTTGAAAACTGTCCTACCATATTCTTGAAGTCTTTGTCGAATTGGAATGAACCCTCGTGATAAATTCCTGCGATGTGTTCTCTTGATGTCAAGTAGTTTTGTAATTTGTTATCACCTAGTGTCAAGATACAAGTAAGCATTTGTGTATATTTTTACCAATTCGAGGGAAATTACCTCACCATCTTGCATGTGCGGCATCTCTAATTTCCCAAAATAAGATCAATCAGAGAAGAAATAGAGTGGTTCCTTATAGTCAGCCTATAAATTAATACGATATCAAAAGTTTGAGATAGGCTTACCATGTTCCTTTATAATCTCTGAGGGAAGCACGCTATAAAACTTTGTATCCATTTCTATTTCAAAAGATATCGCATATGCATCAGCAAATCCTCGCAGAGAATAGTATGACTCAAACACCAAACAGAAGAAAAAAGAGTCGAGACAGTCAAAAAGAACTGTACCTTTGGTCAAATACTCTTGCATACTCTGGTCCAAATGAGCTTTCAGGTCAAAATCATTCAACAAACTCATCCCCGCAACATTGCGATGGCTTAACCCCTCATTAGAAAGCACATGCAAATACAAAGATTTTTGTACATCTTTATCATCAAGTGTATCAATCAACCATGTCGGAGTCTTTTTAGTTTGCAAGTCAAACCTATAAATATGATTGAGAGCTTGATATGCCAATCGAACGGTTTTAGATACCTTTTCCTCTTGATCATCCGTGTATCTCGTGACTGGATGACGAAGAATGGCTTTGATTCTTGAGACGATTGAGAAACTGTTTTCATAATAACCTTTGTCGATTAGAGGCCAGCTTTTCCACATTTGAAGACGAGAAAAGTTATCTTTGAGTTTTAAGATGTCACTCTTTAGCTCTTCTGGTACTTCTTCCCTATCGATTGCTGCTTGAAAATCTCGAATATGAGCCCGTCTCTCAATGGTCTCGGCCCATTCTGAAATTTAAGGTTTTCATGGTCAGTTTAATTCATTGACTGATCTGATCAAAACGTTTTACAAGATTGCAGAAGCTTACCAAAGTGAAGTTGTTCCAAGAAGTTGTTGTACCTTCCAGGAGACGAAGCTTGCTGGTAAACCGTTTTGAATTCTGCTTCAGAATCAAGTAAGGCACGCCACATTCTTTCTACCTCGATATCATTCAATGATTCAAAGATGTGTTCCAAAAAGTAATCTCCAGCATTGGCGTTTACGTAACCTAAACATTTCATCACTTGAAGATCCACAACAATCATACCTGAGTCGGAGCTTGACTTCACCTCATCTTGCATTGAACTAATGATATTGCGAACTAATGAAGATACACTGCGAGAATCTTCACTCGAAACTTCCTCCCACTTGGTGATATCCTCAATCTGGGCGAATTTTTGTAACATAACCTCTGCTTCATTCCCCTTACGATGAATTGCAATTCTTGAGTCCGGAATGAATGATTTTAACTCATTGATGACGTCGGACTTAATAGCCTGCGCCGATTGTTTGATCTGATTACCTGCTCACAATGCACCAGTCAGTCAATTGCGTGTGAATTCTTCTTGTTTGTACTTCTATGCTATCACTTACCATCAAGAACTTTGTGCGAAATTGTTGAGATAATGTAAAATCGCATTGTGAAGATGGTCAGCCTGATGTCTTGAGAGATTTCACCGGGAAATGTATTATACTCCTACTGTTGAACATCACTCACCAATCTTGGTAGCTAAGTTTGTGTCTGGAAAGTTTACCCCGTTTTGATCGGTGGTAAAGTCAGCAATCTTTCTACAATTTACAAAGCGGAAAAGTTTTACTCACCCGCCTCAACATATAATTCTCTATGTGGTTTCTTATTTGAAAATCTCCTTGGAGATCTATCAAAGATCCTTCTGAACCAGTTTGCCAGAATTTTGAGTTTCTCCGAGAGATTTTTTCGCCAAACCTTGAAGGAATTTAACTTTTGGCCAAATCGAGAGTTCTTTTCAATCACAGTATCTGGATCTATCAACCATCCACTGTATCTTGGTAGTTCAGGAGTCTTTTCTTGTGGGTGTGGGGCTGAGGGTGATGGCGGATCGGACAGAGGTACATCGTCATCGGAAACAGGATGGTTGGTGAAGGGAATAAGAGCCTCGCTGGATGGAATTTCCTCTTGATGTGATTCTGTTTCGTGTGGTGTACTGATTATGTTGTGGGCAGTGTGTTGTCCAGGATTAAGCTCTTCATTGAGTGAGCCATGCACACCATTTTTCAAGTCCAATGCGTCTTCCACAACTTGTAAAGGCGTTGGTGCTATACTTTGCAGAAAGCCGCAAAGAAGTACACAGGAAAGGAACCACCTCATAGTAGTGAAGCAAATTCGTAGGAAAAAGATTTTTTTTGAAGAACTGAACAGGTTAGATTCAGAGCTCTGGAGGTAGGAAGGACAAAGCACTGAAGTATATGGTGAGGTTGTGCAACAGAGACAAGAAGAATTATAAATGGTCATACGCAGACCGAACCATCATCTTCCGTAACGAGGATTATCAACTGCTCAGTGGTTCTAACATGCTACAAAAAATGTTTTCAAACTGCACACCATGTTATTAGATATTATACTTGTGATGAATTCTGGTTTGGGATTGACTTGAATCATCGCCTTCACCAAAAAAAGCTCAAAAACGTCGCGAAAATTTTCACCCGCAGTCATGTATGGTGTGGGCTCAAGGAACGTGGTACAGAGCTTTACTGCGAGCTGCATTCCAATACCTATATACCCTCCTCACCGTCCAGACTGGTAATTCTTCGCTGAATCGCTCGCAGGCAAATTTGATGGTCTCGGTGGAATTTCGATGCACTAGGGATATGTTACGCCAGCTTTAAAAATTACACCTATCATCTTTCCGGCTTTGAAAATGCGGAGGATAACGAAAATGCATATTACGAAAGTCTAGATATGTATTGACGTTCTTCTATCCCAATTAAACATTCATATGCTTGAATGAGATCGATTGCAAAACTCCAGACTGAAGTCAAGACGCTTTGCGACATACCACCTATTCACAAAGGATGTAGTTTGTTTGGGCTCAGTCTGTGTCATCGCGATCGACAAAACCGACTTCGAACCAATATGTAGATTTGCCCATCCAACAGATCCAACTCGTTTGTCGGATGGAAATGAGGTTTTGGCAAATCGAATACGAGAGCATGCCAGCATCCATGTTCAAGGGAAGTGCCAATACAAATCAAACCCTAATGTTTGTTCCTCGGTAATTGAAGGAAGCGTATGAAAGTGATTTGTTGCATAGTTCCATATGAGATGGTGACCGGAGCGATCCTGAATGAGGGCCATCTGGAATCAGATTCGAAATCGTCAACCCGAAAGTGATCCAAAAGTTAAACCGTGTGAAATGGTATCTGTCTCAGTTCGACCGACTATGTAAACTCAAGAAAGCCCCTCAACGAGCGCGTTTTGAGACTTCTTGGTGAGTCTCGTGACTTTTGTCTCCTACCTCGCTTCGATCTCTATAACATTTGATTTCTTGCCTCAAATGCGATCTGACTGATCTTTCGATATTGTAAAGTTCATTCGGCATCCTATCTCATGGTCGTCTGGAAGGCAATCCGAGTCTGAGACCTGATTCACCTCGTTGATATTCCGGCTCGAGGGACTTTGTTAAGTTTGCATTCATCGTAACCGGGAAGGTAACCAATGTGTCACGGCTCAGCTTATCATACCTCGTAAACCGATGGAAAGAAGATCACTTTTTCTCAGTGAGGGGACTGCAACAAACATGCGATCGACCTGTCATTTTCGCAAGGTAGGTTCAATGAGTAACACTTTGATTACAAGCAATTCGACCTCCAGCTCATCGATCGGTCATTCATTCATTTTGAACGCTCACTGCGCCCTCAATCTATAAAGCTCAATCATGCAACGTGTATTCATGTAAGGTCAACTTTCCTTTCCCTTATCCTCTCATCAACTCCCATACCGAACCTATTTTCATTGAGTAAACTTAAGCACAGGATGTTGTCATACTCATTTCTCATCGTCTTCTTTCTCTCATTTTGTTTAGCTGATGAACCAGATACATCTCAACCTGAGAGAGATCCCAAATCAGCCCCAGGATTCTCAGGTACTTACGAGATTCCAGGATCTCCAAAGTACGCTTACCAAGAAGCCCTTCACAAATCTTTCCTTTTCTATCATGCACAAAGATCTGGAAAGATAGATGAACATCGATTAGCTTGGAGAACAGATTCTTGTTTAAGTTGTAAAGGAAAATATGGAGAAGATTTAAGTGGAGGTTGGTATGAAGCTGCAAACTCGATGAAATGGACTCAACCTTTTTCTTGGACTGTCACTCAACTGGCTTACAACGTCTATCAATTTGGGAATGCGATGGAAACGGTCAATGAGATGGCAGAAGCAATGAAGGTCGTACGATGGGGAGCCGACTACTTGATGAATGCTCATCCAGCGCCGAATGTGCTTGTCGGATTGTTTGGTCTTGATGCGGACGAAGTGGGAGATGTTGACTTTAGTGAGTCTAAGTTTTTTCTCGAGCTGAGCTCAAGTAGACATTAGACTGATGTGTTCGAAATTTGATCTTAGTGTACTTTGGTCCACCGTAAGCATTTTGGAGTCTCTTCATTGGGCCAATATCTAACTCACGTTTCCGTCACCATTTTTTCCAAACGTTCAGTGAGGAGTATGAGAAATGGGCACCAAGAGGGGTACAAAAGGAAGCTTATTACGTCGATGAATCACGCCCAGCATCTGAGATGGCTGGTCAAGCTGCCGCTGCTTTAGCAGCAACCTCTGTGATCTTTCGACAATCTGATCCAGCATACGCTGATCTCGCTTTGAAACACGCTATGGAACTTTTCAACTTTGCTGATAAATTTCGAGGAAGCTTTATGGATATAGATGAACTTCCATTCAGAAGAACAAAGAAATGGTATCCATCTACTAAATATACTGACGAGATAGCTTGGGCTGCAACTTGGCTTTTTGCTGCTACTGGCGACGTTGCATATTTTCAATCTGCCAAGGATAATATCCGTGGAGGTGCCTCGGAGTACTCTTGGGATGATTGTGAGGCTGCAGCCACAGTTCTACTATACCAATTGACTGGTCAACAGGAATTCCTCCTCAAGGCAAACGACTTCTTCACTCAATTCTTGTCCGGTGGATCTACTAAGATGACCGCTAAAGGTCTCTCTTACAAGGAGAGCTGGTGAGTCTTATAATCCTCGCCGTCAACTGAGCTGTACCATCGTCATCTCACCATAATATACTGACATGTTTGCTATGACACTGTCACAGGGGTGTGTTAAGATACGCTTCGAATCATGCTTTTCTCGCCCTCGCTCATGCGGCTTCGGTGGAGAGATACACTGATGGTCAAACAGAACAAGGAAAAGCTCTCGTTCAAACCCTTCGTACATTTGCCACTCAGCAAATCAACTATATGTTGGGAGATACTGGGATATCCTTTGTGGTTGGATTTGGCAAATCGGTCACCAAACCATATCATAAAAGCTCTTATAACTCTTTTATTGATTATCCTATGCGTGGACTTCAATCTGAGGTTCAACAATCTGACTTTGAGTCGGACACACCACAACGCTTCATTCTATATGGCGGCCTGGTTGGTGGACCTGATATCAATGATCAATATAAAGACACACGAAAAGATTATACTTATTCCGAAGTGACTCGTGAGTTTTGTTACAGTCTTCTGAATTCTTGGCGTATACAAATCACTGATTTTCCCAAAACCTATTTAATCCTGATCACACAGAGGATTACAATGCTGGATTCACAGGTGTCCTAGCGGGAATGCTCGAGTTTTATATCGCACGTGGAGCTTCTTTCGTTCCTTTCAATGATGGAAAACTCGATTTAGGATGGTCACATCCTAATGCAGTTCAAGCATTAAAGCCAAATTACCCGGCCAATGATTGTTACCATCTTGATGTACCATGTCAAAAGAAATAAAACACTTCTTCGTCTATAGACAATTGAATTTGTACTTAATGCTACTATCATATTTATCGGTCATGTTTTTTGGGGACCTTGTTTGTTTCTGTAAAATCACCAATTATGGCGAGTATATGTTTGAGACATGATGACCCTTTCAAATGTATGCCTTCAATCTCTCACAGTTTGCTCCTACGTATAACCCTTCCAGTGTGCCCATAGAAGGAAGCAACAAAAGCACAGAGCCCTACACTACCATCTGAGTATGTTCAAGGTAAACGTAATTCCTTTCTGCTCAAGCTCACCGACACACTTTTTTCACATCCATCCTTGAGAGAGTGAGAGAAGAAATCACAATCGTCAATGAGCCCATTGAATCATAATGAAACTACAAGACTGACTCAGGTTGTCCGACGGAGTTCAGACCGAACAAGGAAATATCTTGATAGGCTCACGAATATTTTTGTATGACTTCACAGAAATTTTGGGCAGCTTTGAAATAAAGGCCTTTGCTGATTTTCCAGATTCAAATAGTTGATTGAGTTGGACCTCAAGGCTAGATCACCACCGTGATCAAAGCTATGTTATGCACGCTCCCTTGGTAGAGTATCTGTTTCGAAGCAACGAACATGTCAATCCTGACAGATGCGGGCAAAAGGCTCAAAGTTTAGTATCTCAATGAATTAAATGCCCCAACCAACAATTCTATTCAATCTTCTTGACTATCAATTTAATTTTAAACCCAAAAAGAAATTCATCACATTCATCATATATACCAAATATATACAAAGACCCCATATAACTAACAATCCACGCTACCTTAGAAAAAAAAAACTTCACCTCTATGGATATTTTTATATATTATAAATATGGCTGTGAAGAAAAAAAAGGATATAAATATGTTGACACACAGCGTTTGAGTAACAATAAAAATCAATCACACCTTACACACACAGTTAGATAGAGATAAATCGAGCACAATAACAACAAAACACAACACACACACGCACACACGCACACATAAAACAGGAATGTAAAGAAATCATTCAAGAATCGAGATATCGAAGACTTATATCAAAAAACTGATCCATCGTAAACTCGGTGAAAAACCGATTACACATACCCAGATAAGGAATAGAGAGACAGAGATACTAATCAAAGAAAAAACATGAGAAAAAGATGAAATCTATTTTTGAATGCTCCCCTAGGGCGGCTTGGTTTCTATTGTGACGATGTGAACCTAACTCTAAGATAACCCACTTCCACTCTTTGCTCGATCATCTTCCATCTTCATAAAACTTGTTCTCTGATCACTAGCACCCAAATCACTTGCTCTGCCATCTTCTGCTTCCTCTTCAATCCAAATTGAACATGTTTTCTTTTTTTCTAAATCTTTCCATTCCTTCCATTCAATCCCTTCTTCACAATCTGTACCATTCACAAATCTCTCCCACGCAATTCTCAAACCCTTCTCCAGATTAGCGACCCAGCGAGATGTATCGAATAAAGCGGATCGATCTCGCGTCTCGAATAATGAACGCCGTAATAGAGCTAACTCGCCGATTCCCGCAGTCAGATAAGTAAGCGCCTGCCGTGGTCCTTGCTCGGGACCGACCATCAGCGAGATTTTCTGATAATTGAGACTCTTTGCTAGCTGGATGGCTCGATCTTTGTAATTATCGAGATCGGTGGCTATCATTTGTGTTCCAAAACCGGTGGCCAGAGCGATACTGGCTGCGACTCGGCTACACATCTTGTGAACATGTGTCTCGCGAGGCAGTGTCAAGATTGGTGTGCCACTCCATAAGATACTATTGGGACAAGACCAGATTGATCCGCACAGGTACATAGTTCAGAAACAAAGATTAGCGACAATTAAAGTGTAAAAAGAACCAGGAGGATTTGGGTTACGCACTCAGCCGCGGTGGTATGTGCGTTGCACTTAAGCGTTTGAGGAAGATGTGGTTGGAAGTGAGCGAGCAAGTCAAACAGACAACTGATATACCCACTGTAAGAAACATGACATACCTCAGTCGAATCCAAGAAAAGATCGGCAATACGACCTCGTTGAATGTGGAGTGCTTTCGATGCGACCTGACCAAGAAAAAAATCAGCAAGGGTGCGTGGTTTGAGAGTGCTGTTCATTAGTTCAGCCTTACATCTGTAAACATGATCCTTGAAGCTACTTCCGGACCCGCCCATTTTTCTGCCGTGAGCTTAAGATGAGGTTCTCCAGGTGCCGGAAACCTTAGAAGCCATAGGATAGATTTTGGAACTGATGCTAAGATCTCCAACCAATACTTGAAAATCACTGGATCAACCTACATCGCCACAAAAAGACCCGATTCATCCAATTGGAATATAGCATCATAATCAGATGATATAACCCAAGCTGCCATTGTCTGAAACTGAAAGACCTTACCTTATAGAGCTGATTGAAATTAGCAAATATCACGGTATCGTCACTTAAATCCGGGAACATCTCTCGCCTCATCTTCCATCGTCTGACTTCTTCCTCAGCCCACACTTCGTCTGTTGGCCTAGAAGATCGAGGATCTACTCTTTCAACGGGTGCTGGTAAGCCATCTATATCGAGTGACTCTGCCGTCTCATCCCTAAATCCTTGTTTATGGTCGCACACAAAGTACGCTAGATTCATTGACCCACTTTCGTTAGTATCCCTTGCCAGGAAAAGATAGTGACACGAACTCTACTCACAATGTGGCATATAGAGAAACTTTTCCGTGTAGACCCAGTCTTCGTCCGCACACTCTGGATCTAGATCCCCGTCGAAATCCGTTGCAAGGTCTTCTACGATCTCTGTGATCTTTTCCCCTTCTCCGGCCGCACTTTCATGTCTCTTTCGCCACTTCTCGCCCGATACCATTCTAGGGGGGCAGACAATTGGCTAATGGATTTGGGGTATAATGCGATCAACCGCCTGATCAATCTTTAGTCATAGGGTTCAAAAACACTCACATCCGCGATGATCCAGTCAGTCCATCCACTGGCCAAGGTGCCAGCGAAGCCCATCTACATTACAGAAAAGGGTATCTGATGAGCAACATCAAACGACATAGGTATTCAACAATGGCTCACAAATTCCATCTGAACAGGGCAAGGTCTGGCGGCGAAAATCTCGTTTCGCGCACCTTTTGTATACCCATTCAAATTGATCAATCTGTCGATAACGATACATATTGGGGATTAATCGCTCCCCCGCGAAAATGCACAGTGAAAAGTTTTGTCCAACTCACATATGAATCCTATCATCGACAATCCGTCTCACTATTTTTTCTGTATCCCATCCTGAAACATCTATGAATCCAGATCCCCCCACATCTCTTTCGATCTTCTTCCGATAAGTTGACCCATCCGAAGCTGTTGTCGCGTAGCATAGAACTTCAAATGAATTCCGATCATGTAATCCGAACACAGATTGCATCAGGTGAGCGAGAGGATGGTTGTTGAAATCTGAAGATACATATCCGATTCTGATCTTCCCAGATATGGGCGGAGGCGGGGGCGGATAAACAGTTGTACCAATCCAAGGCTGGGAAAATGTTCCAAGTGAAATCCGTAACGCATTTCGGTGAGATATCAACCTACATTCTCGCGCTCCGAGAGGATATGTGAAGGTGTGGAACGGTAGCACAGTTGGTACAGGTGGCAGGCCGAGTGAGCTAGGTACTGCCAGTCGGTGATAGCTATCGCTGCTAGCCTTCGCCTTTGACGTTTGGGGCTCCACTTGAACGGAGGAGTCGCTTTCTATCACCTGCCCGTAGAGATCAAGATACCAGCGCCGCTGGGCTTGGCGGGCACACCTTTCTACCAACCTAATGATGAATCCACCTTCGTTAAACCTGTGACTGGCCGATCCTGTTGCTTGGGGTCGAGACTCGTCGGGATTGGGAAAAAAAGGTTCAAGCTTGGATCTCCAATGAGTTAGCTCGACAGGGGAAAATCCATCAGTCGCACCGGTCCTTGCCAATGCCAGTTTCTCTAGCCAGTGGTCTAGACTCGCCGTTTGACGTAAGACCCCTTTGCCGTAATGCATACCTTCATCCAACTGCTTCTCTACCAGCTTCGCCACTTTGCCCATCAGACCAAAATATGGCTTCTTGCCCTCAATATCCGTTGCTTCGCTGGACGGAAGCAATAGCTTACCGGATCCATCCACTATCAGCCCTTTTCCAACTCCACCTCGATCTCGCCAGTCACAAACACCGCCCAATGCATTCACCAAACCACAGACGGCCTCTGGGAAATCTGGATTTGCGTTCACAGCCCTCAAATACCACTGTACCGACTCTTGGACTCGACCCATATCCTTGACCGCATTTGCCAAGTTGGCGAGCGCGACATCAAAATTCGGATTACACTCAACAGCCTTTTCGTACATTGACACAGCATGAGCAAGCTGGCCCATGTCCTTAAGTAATGAGCCGAGATTAGTGTACAGGTGAGGATGATTGCGGTCACGCTGAAGACCTTGAAGGTAGAAAGTATGAGCCAGTTGTTGACCGTTGATAACTCGAGGTGGACGACCTGGCGGACTTCCAAGTGTGAGAGTCAACGGCATAGTAGAAAGCAAAATGCCGAGATTATTACATGTCGATGGAGAAGGGTGCAGCGTGAGAGCCAGGTAGTAGAGTGGAAGCAAAAAACTTGATGAAGGCGGGATCCCATCGAGTTTGGCTCCGGGTGACATAGGTGCTGCCATCATATCCTGCAGACTTTTCGCCAATGTGAGTAAGACGGTACTGGTGGTTTGATTGGGAGATTGAAGAGCGGGGTTTCGACTGAGATCGGAGCCGTTTGAAGAATGTGAAAGTGAATGATGCTTGAGAACAGGAAGTATGCCATTCGAGGCGCTCATGACCGTACGAACTAATTGGTCAAGGTTGTCGGGTAGCAGGAGTACGCAGGGTAAGATGCCACCGCCCAGTTTCAACAAACGATCTTTGATGACCTGCCGTCGTCGGCGAGCAAAGCGTAGTGGATCTGTCATGACAGTATCGAGCGATTCTTCATTCGGGTCCCAAAGGCCAGTATCGGAGAGCACCTTGATAACGTGAGGTTCATGACTGGACGCAGCCCCGTTTGCGTTGACTGCCATCATCAATAACCCAACCGAGCACATTGCCAGAACAACATCTACAAGTCCATATGCACCGACCGAATCGGCAGGAATTGGTGAATCGTTGTCGGAAGCTTCGACTACTGGTTTCGTTTGTGGGACCCCAAATGCCACCTCGAACGCCTTTTCGTATTCATTACGAGCCTCGAGTGGCTTCCCGGTGGCGATAAGCAAGTTGCCTTTCGCGTAGAAAAGGGTTTTGGACCCGATGGACCATGATTCGGAGGAATGATAGCAGGCAGCCGAAGTGGCCGAGCGGGCTCAGGAAGTGTGCCAAAGAGCTCACCCTCTACGAACGTACATAATCGTAAGGCTTCTGTGTATCGAGGTTGAGGTTGCTGGCCATTAGAATGTGACTGAGCAGGGACCGGGTGTGATTGAGGATTACACAGAACACCAAGAAGATTGTCGAATGCATCAAAGTAGGTCCTGCAGATGGATATCAGGTAGCGATTAGCACATGAATAAAACGGGAGCAAGTCAAAAAAAGCTGTCATGTAGTGATTGAAAGACAAAGATAATGTATGGATGGAGTTTACACCACTACCTACGGTCGCAGTCTGATCGCTCGCCACCACCATTCTTCAGCTTCAGCCCATTTGCCAAGCGCTCGTTGGGTCGTACCGAGATTGCTCATTGCTTCCACCTGTGCATTGTCAGCAAACATAGAAACGATCATAAATAAGATTCGATCGTGGATTCAGGACATTCACGATAACGGAGAAGAGAGTGGATCGATCGGTCTTAGCGAGAATAGACATGGGCAGTGACAAAAATCAGGGAGCAGAAGGAAATATGGTAAAGAGGAAGATAAGAGAAAGATAAGAACAAGGATGAGGATGTAAAGCGGAAGAAAGAAGAAAAAAATTACGAACATATTCGGGATCAATCGATAAAATCTGATTGTTGTATAACAGCGAGCTAACATAATCATTCTGTGAATAATAGACGCACGATAAGAGTAGCAGTGAGGGTAGATGATTTGGATGAAGTTTGATGAGGGTATGTAGTAGCGGGAGTACGACAGTTGCATCGTTTGGTTTTTTCGAATAAGTTGCATGAGCGTAACTGAGCAGATAGTCGCGCGTGCGTTCGGTACACTCGCCGTCTTGAGCTGATCTCCAGAGCTTCTCGACTTGTGTAGTCAGTGATCCCGTTGCAGGCGGAGGTCGATTAGAAGTCTGTGAAGGGCCTTGTTTTTGGGAATGTGACAAAGGCGGTAGTACTGCAGTTGAAGTTGATGGATTATGTACCATTGGAGTTGGCGATGATGAATTCGCCAAGGATGACGGCGGTCGGGAGTGGCGAATATGATGAGGAAGGGCGCTGATTGGGCGCTGATTGGAAGGACCGATCGCAGATGGGTTGAGGGAATAGGTAGTTGAGTTGGGTATGATCGGAGGGCCATCGGTGGGAACATTAAGAGGAATCGGACCAGAGTATGTATTGAACTGTTGCTGAGGTTGTGAAACGATTCCAAGGTTCTGTCGTGTAGCAGCGATAGCGGTGGGACCGGGTGGAGGAAGAGGAGACGTAAGATTGGTTTGAATGGTCATACCGAGAGTCGATAGCGCTTGACTGGCTCTTGAAGCCAATTCGCTGGCAGCCATTACATTGGCCGTCAGAGCGGCTACAGCAGCAGCCTGTACGTTTTGAGTAGTTTTTTCAGATGGATTAGGAGGTGAAGCGAGATTGGAAGGATGAGGGTTGAATTGAGCTCCGTGTTGATGTTGATGTTGATGTTGATGAGGGTGTTGATGATGAGGGTGCTGGTGTTGGTGTTGAAATTGTTGATGTTGTTGATGTTGATGTTGAGATGTTTGGTGGTTATTCGTGGATGATACAGTAAGGTTAGAGGTATGAAAGTTGAGTTGATTCAATGCTTCTCGATGTAATTTTGCGTAAAACCCAGTTGCGATCTGTTCTAGTTGAGTTTGGTACGTGTTTGCATAGGCAGTGAGGTCGGGAAAGTATTCGTCCGAATTGAAAGTCTCTTGTGAGATCTGAGGAGGTTGGAGATAACCAGGTTGAGATTGTACGGTTTGAACGACAGCTTGAGCTTTGGCAGCGATGATAACAGCGTTAGCTTTGGCTTCTTGAACATGCTGTTGAAGTTGTGTATCTTGGGAATATACTGCCCAGTGCTTGAGTTGTGAAGCAATATAGTTTGTAGCAGTTCGATCGATTGAAGGGGCAGCCATCTGCGCGACTTGCATCGCCCAGTCATCCACACTTCGATACGTGGGCTGATACTCGTGTGAGTGAAGACTATTATATATAACTGGTGAAGGAGCTAAGATGACGGGCGAGTTCGGGGAAAAAACTTGATGAAGGATGTGAGGAATAGCAGGATGAGAGAGATTCGAAGCTTGATTTGGATCGAGTGGATGCTGAGCGTATGGAGGCGAAAGCTTCATCATCGAAAGGTAAGCAGGATCAAGATGAGAATCCAAAGCGATTTGATGCTGCTGAGCCTCATCTGGAGTCCGAGCCAATTGGACTAGGACACCAGCAGGCATAGAAAGGATAGCAGCAACCTGTTGATCAGTTTGAATATGATGATTCATATCGAAATGATACTAGGTAATCGATTCAGAATGAGAGATCGATTCAGGAAAGAAACAGAACCAGGACTAGGAATAGAACCAGAAGCAGGGAAGGAAAGAGAATCAAAGATCGTTGGTCTGTGAATAGTAAAGTGATAGATACCAAGACCTATAGTGTAAAGACGATAATAATCATTTTTAAAGGAAAGGTCACTTCAAGTCATCATGATCATTTGAGATTTGAATGAACCATCAGCAGTCACGTTAAGTTGTACTGTAGTTTCTTTAAACCAAGGCTGAGGATAAAGAGTGGATTCCCCAACCACACAAAATCAAATCAACCCTATCAGACTTTTCAATTCACCACAACTCTTAAATATTCAAACCAAATCACACAAAAAAAAACCATCACACTACTCAGCTTATCTCTTCCATCTTAAATTGAAAACAACACTAAATTCAACTTGAAACAGCAATCACAAAGCTCTAAAGAAAGGATAGATGTACAGTTTGCCCTCAAATTAATCTTCTTTCCAAAAACTTCAATCTGATAAAGACAAATCAAGAAGAATTTCTTGTTAAGTTTGAAGAATTTCCATCTTCTGATTCTTTTCTCAAACTTCCAAGTGGTAAATACACAGCAAGTCTATTCCTTCACACCTTATCTGTGATCAATGAGACTAGAACTACATAGAAGAAACAAGACAGACTGATAAGATGAATTTTGATCAAACATTTTACTCATGATTGATAAATCTCAAAAGTTGAGCTCCAGAAAGTGTACATGTCCATATAAAACCAGCCTGATATTTTTAGAAATTACACCGGGTATATCAATTTTGACACACTGATGTCAGCTCAATT